AGGTTTTTGACGCAACGCTGTGGGCACGGAGCCCTGTTGAGGCTACGCGTATCGTCTGCTACGGGCTTATTTCTTTATTCCCTAGCTCAAAGTTTGCGTTCAAATGTGGAGAAACTTAATTTGTTAGCTTTTTAAGCCACCGAGAAATAACATTATATAAATTTCTCTCCAGAGCCTGCCAAATAAAAGGAAAGAACCGCAATTTGGATGTCGATCCCACGCATTCCGCCGGGCGAATGAATGAAAATGGCGGCCCTCCGCTCAGCTGGGAGCAGCCGAGATTTCACGCGCATGCGCTCACGCCTCTCGCTCTGCGCCCCAGGCTGATTGGCTCACTCGGGAGGGAGACGTTACGGCGGCAAAATCATAGACTGGCCAAACTCTCCCCATATATGGCTCTAGCCCGGATGTCACCGTCGAACCTGCTGTGGGTGAATCGGGTGAATAGATAGATCAATATACGGCTAAGTCACTCGAATAGGACGGGCTTCTGGGCCATCTAGTCAGTGCTTCATTCTTAATTCTGGGAGAATATGAGTTTCCTTTGATGGGCGACCCTGGGAACTGAAGGAGCCAAATAGTAAATTTTAATATGTGTACTAAACAAAAGTCAGATTTTCTGTTTTTTCAGTGAATCAGTAGACCCGGAACGAAATCAGTAGATCTACTGATAAATCAGTGGACCTGGCAACACTGCCTGGTGGATTATTACTGAGTGCGCGTTTGTTGATGAAATAGTTGTTGTTTTTTCATTTTTTGTTGCTGTTTCATTGTTTCTTTCGTTGACTGATATGTGATTGACCCCCCCCCCCCCCCCCCCCCCCTTATGTAATGTCCCCGAAAGAGGACCTTTAAAGGGTAAATAAATGAATGACGGAATGAAGTAAAGTTAGAGTTTTCTAAGCATATTTGGAAGTAGTACTTAAAAGTACTTCCCAACACTGATTAAAGTGACCACTTGTGCAACAGGCACAGGGCTGGTGGTGCAAAAATGTAGATAAGATCATCATCCCATCCATTTTTTTCACACCACCAGTTTTGCACTTCCTACATAAGGGGTAGCTTTAGAGCACCACTGTGCTTCCCACACGCCCCAAATCTTTTTACAATGGAGCTCTCAAGGGCTAGTTTCCCCAGGATCGTGTCCGGTATCAAACAAATGTCGACACCCGTGGTCGACACAACACTTTGGTTGCCACCGTCGCTCATAGATGGCGGTGGCTGTCCAGAGTGTTGTGTTTGCCGCCGTCACTCATAGATTGCGGCAACCTTTCCAGCCTCGGCAACCAGAGAACTGGTTGCTGCCGTCGCTCATAGATGGCGGTAGCATTTCTGCGGAGGAAGAAGAGCGGGAACGGAACGAGCGGCGATGAGTGCAGCAGCAGCGCGAATGGTTCCGCAACCGCCGCAACCGCCGCGAGGCCGCCATCGCCTAAAGTTCCACTGCACACTGCATTGAGCGCTTCAGATTCCCTTGCGAAAGAAGAGCAGATCGCTCGCCTGGAAAGCCACCTCCGAGAACAGAAGCTACAGCTACGCTACTCTTCCTTCTTCACCAGAGTGAAAAGGCTGAAAGTTTTTCAAATTCACTGATTTAGTGGGTTTTGGTGATGCTCACCAAGTTTCTAATTGAAATCATGTTTAACTTCGCTAATTAAAAGGATAATGAACAAATTTGAGTTAAATTTACTTTTTGTGACCATTAGCCCCCTATGTTATGTCCCCCTCGCTGTACAACTCACCTGCACAGCCCACATTAGTGTAGCTTTAATGGCTTTTTTTTTTTTTTTTTTCAACAAATCTGGAGAGGCTGCAAAACTACTGCGGCAGGTTTTGAGTGGGTGCATCTTCCAAGAATAATTGCACAGGTACTACAAAATGCTACTTTGTGCTATGAATTACAGAACAATTCTGAGTTGCATTTTAATCCGTGCATAACCACGATATATTGAAAACTCGACAGAACTCCACTTTAAAAGAATGAAGCAAATATGCCCCATTTCCGTTATTCTTGCAAATGAGATTGCACAATGAATATTTATCTTATTTTTTCAAGTTTCACAATCACACTGGTGCCACAAAAGCCAGATTCATGAAAGCATATCGCAACAAAACAAGAGTACGACATATCCAGAGGGAAAATCCATGCTCACAAACCAAAATGATCTGCTGACCACTAATTGCAAAAAGAAAAAAAAAAAAAAAATTGCAAACGCTCACACAGTGCACTGCAGTTGAAAGCTCTTGCTTTATTGGAAAATGTGCTTTAGGGGATTTGCTTTTAGTCAGTGGGTTTGAGGATGTTTGCTTTAGTTGCTTTGCTAGTATTAGTTGGTCGAGGTGTTCTTTGGGATATATGTGCCTAAGAGTCGAGGTCCCTTTGCTGTTTACTGTGTGGGCCCAAACTGAAGAGAAAGGTGTAGCAAATTACTACTTGCAAGGTAAGTAATTTTTCTAGCTATATTTTGCAAGGAGAGACAGGTGTCATACATTGTATAAGAAAAAACTAGTTGAAAAGCACTGGAACTCGCTGAACCAATTGCAACATGTTGTGGCAAAATGAATACACCTAACACAAAGAGTGCTTTCTTTTAGCACCTCTCTTCCTTGTTCTTTTTCTAGGTACCACCAATGTTAGCGCTTACGATTTGCCGCGCTCTGCTTCAGTCTTTACCCTCGTAGAACGAAAAATTTTGTCGGCCTCGTGGAGTTTGTTTTAAAGGGATGCTGAACCGAAATTTGGATTTCAGAAAATAAGGTAGCAGGGGTGTATAACCGGATGCCAGAAACCCCAAAACACCACTCATAAAGCAATATCTCGAATGGATGACCATATTTTTGGAAAATAAGGATGCGATTGAGTGAGAATCACGACGTTGCGTCTCCTGCAGAATAGTTGAGGAGGAGGGGAAACGGCCTTGCTTCCTTCCCTCTTTGAGTCCTCGTGGAGTCAACGCGAGATGAGGGGGAAACGAGAATCGCGACGTCACGGGCTTTTTTTGGTCTTGTTCAAGCGTGCTCTTCTTTCACAAAAATATGACCATCCGTTGAAAATATGGCTTTGGGACTGATTCTTCCGGGTTTCTTGCACCCCACCTAGTGCTTCCGCATTGTTTTCTGAAATCAAAATTTCGGTTCAGCATCCCTTTAAAGGCATTTGACTGTATGTGCATAATTAAAAGTACCGTAAAATCCCGTAAGGGTGCCCGCCCAAAATGAAGAAATAAATAGTGAAAAACATGAGGTTGGCTATCTTTGGGAATGAGACAGCAAAACTTTATCAAAAATTAATGGTACACACAGGGGCTCCTGCTACAAACCATGTGACACGGGAGCTGATACGTAGTGCAGATCGAGGACACAGCGAATTCGCGTGTCACAACGCGATAAACACGCGGGATTTCGCTACAAACTCCTGTGTCGAGGAAAAAGATACTGTGGATGCAGCAGATTTGTAGTCCACGGTGTGACAAACACGCAAAAACCAGCTAGCTTGCATGCCACAGAAACCTATATTGTGAAAAAAAAAAAAAAAAAAAAAAAAAAAAAAAGCAGGAACTTGCTGTGAACTTGCATGTCACGGGAACCAGATAGCGCAGTCGATGTGATTCCCGTTGAACATTGGATGATGTCCAACGGGAATGGGGGGGTAGGCAGCGTTTCATAATTTAGACGGAAAAACAGGATGAACAATCTCTCGGGGGAGGGCGGCCCTTACAGAATTTTACAATAGTAAAATGCATGAAGCATTTTTTTTTTTACCACTAAGACACCCCAAATATAGAACTTGAGCTCATAGTTGTGGGAAGCGACTCTCGTGTATGCCGATAGTCATTGGCACTGGCCCTCTGCTGTGTTGGCTCAGAAATTCATGCAACCTGGCTGCAAAAACTGCCTGAGGCAGAGTCTTGACACCAGAACCTAGCGTTTCGTGCCAAAAACGTGGACAATTTCTTTGGGATCTCAATGTCACTTAGGGCAACTCCAGTCAACAATTTTTTAATTTGTTATTGACTGTTTTCAGCTGAGGCAGTGTCCCTGAATTAAAAGGTATAATTTTTTTACAGCCGAGCTGTTCAGGGCTAGTTTCCTCAGTATCATGTCTGCAGGCAAACAAATGTTGACACAAAACTAGGCAGCTACCGCCATCTATGCGCGACGGCGGCAACCTTTCCAGCCTTTCCACTCTGGTTTTTACCAGAGTGGAAAGGCTGAATTTCTCTAGGCGTCGTCCTTGAGTTCGTCCGAGAGGTTGTTTTTGAGGTCTTCCTAGAAGTCATTCTTGAGCTTGTCCTAGACGTCGTCCCAGAGGTCATCCTAGAAGTTGTCCTTGAGGTCGTCCTAGACGTCGTCCTGTAGGCATCGTCCTTGAGGTCATCCTCTAGGCATCATCCGAGATGTCTTGAAGATAACAGCTTTGCTGGTCCTCCATCTTCACGTGAAGTGGAAGGTCTCTACATTTTTTTTAAAATTGTGTGTAGATAAATATTACGGCTGAAAGTTTGGTTTTGGGCATCTACGGCAAAACCGAAACTATCCGCTAGAGCGGTGGCAACACCGATCATCAGCCGTACGGCCACAATGTGACGTCACACTGGTGCTGCGGTACGCAATAGAACCAATCGACCGCTGCTCCACCGCGACGTGACATCACAAAGGGTGCTGCACCAGTGTTCCTTAGCAAAAAGCTGACCCGCTTGCCACCCGCTAAAGAGCAGCTGGTCGCATGTTTAAAATCTGTTTTAGTGCAGTATGTGGCTTCACTTTGACGTAATATTTCGTGCCACTAAATCGATGCCAGTCGTTTATTTTGGTTTCGTTCTCGACGTGAATGATGATTTTAGTGCTTCTCGGGATGCTTCTATACCTTACAAACTTCTTGGCCAAGTTGTTGCAAGGCGAGTCCTTTGTGAATTTGACCTTGGTTTTTGTCCCTTCCCCCCCGAGTCTTACCATTGTGTCCTGTTTACAAAGGAGTTTCTTTAACTCTGGCCTCGCAGGTCGATGTTCTGCATGCTTGACGTGTCGCTCGTGGAAACCTAAATCAACTCTGGCTGCACCGCAACGGCAATCCTCCCCCAGACCAGAGACGCCCCTTCGAACGAACTACAGAGTGAGCGCCAAGAGGCATTTCGTGATAAGTTGGATTTTTGCCTAACTTGAGCCGCATTAAAGGCACCTCCAGATCTGCTATTTTGCAATGTGCACACGGTACTGCAGCGTGTGTCGACTGCTCGTTCCAGAGCCAAAAGTGATGTGTTTGTTAATGCACAAAAGCGCTTTTCTTTCTCTCCAGCACCTCCATCCCTCAAACATCTAAAAGACCACTACATCGCCTACTTTGTCTTTCATTCTTTATCACGAGACACTTTGAAGCATCTGGGCCAGGGTTTATTAGGTCACTTTTTTTTTTCTGTACTTTTAGCAAGAGTCATCTGCAACCAGTGTAGGGCTTTTCTTTTGCCAAGTTTAACTTAAATTAGCTTACTGCACACAGTGGCTGGAAACTTCTCAGGTACATTGGTCCCTTCTCGCAAGGAACAATAAATTCATTGAGGCAGGTCACAAGCGATGATGCTGCCTCTACAGGGCATGAGCAACATCCGAGATGGTTGGCACAATGGATGGACACTGCAAGAACTGTTCCGGATCTAGTCATGTGTCCCAGAGAGCGGGCCATGTGTACTTCCCCTTCTGCCCCACACTTCTACGCTTTTCTTCCCAACGCCTGGTCGCGTCATCGTCGTCGTCCCGAACACTGCAACAAATGACGAAAAGACCACAGTGTCACGATCCCTCGGGGACGACATGGAATCTCACTAAGAAAAACCGTCTCCTTTCCAAGCCCCTGGGTCTTTGGCCATGCTGCACTAAAGGACAGCAAGCGTCTTCATTCGGCCGAAACTTCAGCCAGAAAAGGGAGCGTTGTCTCCATTGTTGCCGCAACTTTCTTTCTTTTCTTTTTTTTTGTTACAAAATTGTGAAATTGGTTTATTTTCAGAACTGAAAAATAAATGCATTCTCCCGCTGCACATGTTCCAGATGGTTATTGTTGGCTACCTCCTATATTCTTGCTTTTTGCTCCCTCTTCAGAGCTTGCCTTCTTTGTATTTGTTGAAATGCCTATCCATTAGTAAAATATTTTGTGAAGATGCTCGACTGCTATTTGCAATTTCGTAGGAATGATCTAGTTAAAAATTAGTCAACCTTTTAACTGCTTCCCCACAGAGAACATAGAGAACAGTTGTTCTCATTAATGAAGGGGGGTTCTAAAGTAACAGTTTGCAATAGGATTCAGTTGAATGTCACCAAGTGTCCCAATGCGGGTCTTTCTTTCAGGCACATCTTCTGATGTGCCATCACAATTTGCTGATTGCTTCTTTCATGAGATGCTATCACACTTGGCTCTTCAGTCTGTGCTAGGAAGCAGGCACAAGTGCTTTCTTTATAAGGAAGCCAACCTATTTTTGTGTATATACAGTTCAGTCAAAAGTTTTCAACGATAGCACTTAAATGCCCAGAAATCGGGGCTATGGTTCAGAGTTCCCCTATATGCCCTACAGCACACAGTTGTCCAATTCAGATTGAAAAAAATTATTTGTAGTACAGTCTGCTCCCATTAAACTGACATTCCTATCTTACTACTACCAAACTTCCCAGGCACCAACTTCGCCACATGCAGAACATCATAACTTACAAACCTCACCTTTCCTTCCCCAAGACCGAGGGCAATAATAAACACGCAGCACAAGACCTCAGACACAATTCGTGTTTGAGACCATGTTGTTAATATAACAATTTGTTTATCTACCTATGAACGAGCACTGTGGAGCCAGTTCCCAGAAAAGCGGACGTTTTTTCTTGGCAGTCCAGTTGGCAGGTGAAACAAACCCTGCTGCTTGCCCGCAACTTATGGCTCAAAAACAATTGGGGATTTGTGTAAACCTTCAGCCACACTTGCTTGTATAACCTAAGATATGAGTTTTTTTTTTTTTTTTTACAAATACAATATTTTGTTTTGCTGAACAAAGAACACTTATGTGCCTCTCATTAATTACCACAAAAAAAAAAAAAAACACGAAGGACATTTTTTTTGTTCAGGTTTTCCAAAGTTGGTTGCTGACTTCTGTGAAAGCAAACTACTAGCTGATAGCGCAGGGAGGGAGAAAACCTCAATTGTATTACACCTTGGTCTACGGTGTGGGAAAACAAACCGCCAGTATTCCAATACAGGCATTTCGTTTTCCCACATAGCGGACCAAGGTTTCCCTATCCTTGGGCCGATCTCGGTTGAAGCTCGGACCAGATCCAGAACAAATCTGGGTGGTTTGGCAGTTGCTAGAGAGTTAAAAGCCTACATTTATTGTTAAAAAAACTAAACCTAAAGGACCACTGACAACCCTAACATTGGTGCTTTTTTTATTGTCTTAGATGTTTCAAAACAACACCATACCTTAACCCAGAAAAAAAAAAAATCTTCATCTTGAGACTTTCTGGCATGGAAAAGAGCCATTAAAAATCTGCATCCTTCCTCCCCCAGCCAGGCTTCACTTTTTTTTTATGATGTATATAGCGGAGGCATTTTTTTTTCCAGAAATTTAAGTGTCTCTAACATTATTAATGAGATTAATCAAATATGTTATTTGTGACGATTGCAAGCGCACCTTGCTGCTGGCTTCCAAGTGTAAAACCTCGGAGCCCGGAAGTGTTAGCAACGAGCCATCGGCCGTCTCCTGGCTTTCTTTTTTTTTTCTTACTCAACACAGTGGGGACCAGCGGCTATGCTGAGAGGGGTGGGGACGATGGGGAAGTCAGTGTCAGCTTGAATTAGTTTTTTGCGGTGCGAGTAAGCTCCAACTTAGTGAGAGCAATTGCGAAGCAATCATCTACGCCTGTGGTTCTGAAGCATGGATGTGTCGGGGACACTTTGGGGACCCGCCAAAGTGAGGGAGGACCCCATGCTAGCGGGGAAAGGGGGGATATAAAATAAGACAACTAATTGCTGTGAAAAGGGCATCCTTCACTGTTATGAACAGGAAGATAGAAGCATCAAGTAAAAGGATGAATGAACGGATAGATGGTGATGGCTATACCCTTTATAACGGGCGGTAGCTTGCACCACCTAACTAATACCTAACCTAACCAATACAACCTCTGGCTGGCAAGAAAGAAAACTCTCGAGGCTATGCAGATGAGCCACAGCAGCTTCCATCTTACACTGATGCCTGGGACTCAAATCGACAAGGAGAGTTGTGCGCCTAACATCCGATCAACTGCATACATGATGCGCTGTCCAAGAGATTTTGGACTCATAAATAGACTTCTAAAAAGAGATGTGTTGATGAGCTTTGACAGAAAGACAGGAAACATAGCATTTTGACAAGAAGCTATTGGCAGCATTCTGGGTTAAGAATGACCAACAACGCAGCAAGGAGTGCACCATTTCTCCTCAACCTCATTCACTCGGGCTGAAGTTTCAAGTCTGGATTTTTTTAAGTATTTTTTTTTCCCTCTGCAAATATGCCGTTTCTAAGCTTAAAATTTTCAGGGTGATGCCTAGGATTCAAGGAATTATTTCCAGTTGTTTGCAGCAAGGGTTGTTAGTGGTCCTTTGCATTTTCTGAAAATGCACAAACGGGAAATCAGATTCACTCGATTGTCTCGGCTATTTCGTTAAATGAAAGCCCATTTCCAGCGGGGTCGACTGCACTCCTTTCTCCACTTTAAGGCTACATAAAATACTGTATGTCACAAACTGGCCTATTCACAGACTTTAGGAGAAAGGCACTTGCCAAAAAAGCAGATTCAATTTAGATATTGGTATTTCACTGGAGTTCAGTTAGAACATCAATATACAATCCTCATTCAGTTTTGAATATTCAAAAACTATTCTACTCACATTCAGTAGAATACTCAAAATTTCACCTGCACTCTAAAATTTTGTATTTGCATGACCCAAATATTTTGTTTTGATGGACGAAGAGCGTGTTGGTGCAGTTCAGGATTAGAGAAAGAATAAACATGCTAAACAAGGTTATTCTTTCTTTAATCCTTAATATTTCATTGTTTCCTCCTTTATGTGAACATACACAAAGTAGGACCTGACATTGTCTTGCCATTCTGTCGTTGACCTGCACGTGTCCCCTGGCCATTTCACAAGCCGGACATCTACACTTAAATGCATTCAGCAATGATCCAAACACGAAGATGGTAGAGGCTGGCAGAAGGTACCGTACTCGTGAGAAATTTCATGGGAAGCCTCCCAATGTCAGTTACATTTTGCTCACTAGTAGACAACTTGTTCAATTGGGCCGTGTCTCTTAGTGAAACGTGAGCTCTCCCCAAGATGTGCAGATGATACGTTGGGGTACACACGACCCATTGGATGTGTGCTGCCTTTTTAACCTCCAGAGACTTTTCAGTTAACACATCAACAGCCTACTTGAGCATGCCTACTGCCTTCGGCAGAACAGAAAGGAGTGGCAGCAAAACCCTCACAACACGCGCTGCACGAGCAGGCGCACTGAGACATCTCAAACAGACTCACGTGAGTAGGCGGCCGATACAAGGTGTCAGCTGCTCGAGCTTGTACTTGCTGACATTCTCGAGCATGGGTGACCAGAGTGGCTGGAGGTGGAGACACATGCGTGAGCACGCCACGCAAGCTGCTGCCACCATTGATGCGGGCATCTTGATGAAGCTGTAGTCTGCAGAGGCAACGGTCCTTGTAACTGTCGAGGCTCTTCACAGGCAGCTCTACTCGAGCTAGAGTGGCGAGGCAGGGGGGCTGGTGTACTATGTTCACAATTAACATCTGGGACTTGGGCACGGCCAAAAAAAAAGAGGATGCACAACGTGCGAGTCAAAATGGATGCCATTTTTGAAACTTGCAAGTCGCCCATCCTCTTCACTTAGTTTTGCCTCGGGTCTTTGTTGTGAGCTCCACTTGTCTCTGTTTGCAAGGAGCCTAGGCACTTTGTGGCATGTACTGAAGAAAGTGGGGAACCAAGAAGAGCCAACCCCATGCACTGGCAAAGTTGGTCCTTTTCAAGTGCCCCAAGTGAGCCACTGCACTGAGGAAAAATAAAAGTCCATCTTGCAGGACTAAATGCTGAAGTAAAACAGCCTATTGAATAGCTAATTTGGCCAATCTGGTACCAAGGTAATGCTCTGAAATTGTGTTACTTAGAATGTTCACAAACAAGAGCCTGCCTAAACTTACAATCCCAAGAATGTGAGATTGATATGGTGACCTCTGCTTCGTTGAGCTGGATGTCTTTCAAACTGAACTGACTGATCACAGTTGGAGATCTCGGGTCTTGTTAAGTCGGCTTCATTCCAAGAAAAAAAAAAAAAAGTTTTGGGTTCTTTTTATGGCAATTTTTGTGTTTTCTTATTACGAAAGGCAATGTGTAACACTTCCATTGTAGTATCAAAGCTGAATCCCCAACATCACCAAAGATGGACTCCTTCCATGAGCTTTATGTAGCAACGGCATTATTTCCTTTTCAGGGGACATGCTACAATGACATCTGCTCCAAAAGTATCAGTGGCTGCTTTAAAGAAACATTTTTCCTGCTGTAAAGTGGAGACTGGAGCTAGTTGGTAAGATGACATTGTATTAAAAACACCGCACAAGCAGTGAGGAAGAAGAGTGCTGACTTCCGACTCATCTATTGTGAAATAAAGAAGAAAAATACCACAAACGGGAACCCAATTAAATTCGGGTGAAAGAAAAAGAATCGAATGCTAGGCCAGCCATAATCAATCGTAAGTGTTGGATGGGAAGGCCTTATCGCACAAAGAGAGTGAGGTGTGGCTCGCACATCACTCGCCAATTTTTTTTAAATAAGTTAGGCTTCTAAAATATTTCTGCTTTGGCAATCTTGATATCTCCCTATTATTGTTGCGTTAGAAAAAGTTGTGAGCACTTGCTCAGTATTTGTAGTAAAATTTTGGAACATATTGTATTTAAACACATATCAGCATATCTGGAGCAAAATAGTTTTTTTTACTAAGGCTCAACATGGTTTCCGACAAAAAGTGTCCACCATCACCCAACTGACCGAAACAGTGCACGAGTTTTGTCGGTAATTGATACTCGAGGGCAAACTGACGTTGTATACTTGGACTTTTCAAAAGCGTTCGACCGTATTCCACATGAGAAGCTACTAACAAAATTGGCGGTTGTCTTAAATAATACTAATATTTTGAGGTGGCTAGAAAGTTATTTGACTATGAGACAACAATTTGTACAATTTGGTAGCGCGTGTTCCGGTACTGCACACGTTACGTCTGGTGTCCCACAAGGATCAGTTCTCGGGCCTTTAATGTTCTTAATATTTGTTAATGATATTATTTGTGAAATTCCAGTCAAGATAAGATTTTAATATCAAAAGTCTTGGAGTCTGTGAAGTATTAAATTCCTCACTAGAAAGATTGTCTAAATGGTGTGCCGATTGGCAAATGTCGTTGAATTTATCAAAGACTGCTTGTATGTCTATTACTTGTAAGAAAAGTCCTTTACTTTTTAATTATTCTATTGGTAACTACAGCCTTCTTAGAGTTTGCTCATATAAGTATCTGGGTTTGACTATAACATCTGATTTAAGGTGGAACACACATGTTAGTAACATATGTAGTAGAGCAATGAGTAAGTTGGGTTTTCTTCGCAGGTATATGAAGCATGGCTCCCGTGAGACAAAGTTATTATTATATACAACCCTGGTTAGGCCAATGTTAGAATATGCTAGTGTCATCTGGGATCCCCACACATCATGTTGTATTTCAGAACTCAAGACAATTCAAAGATTAGCGGTGCGTTTTGTGTACAATATGTATTCCCCTTATGTGTCCCCCACAAAACTTTGTGCTGAGGCGGGCCTGGGAACCCTACAGGAAAGAAGGAGAATGAATCGTCTAAAATTCTTCTACCTTATCGTTAACGACAAGCTTGGAACAGACAAAGATGATTACATTACATTTTTTTGCCCCAGGTCTACTAGGCATTTTCACAGCAGAACAATAAAGCCATATAATTATAAAAATGACGCATTTAAATACTCCTTCTTTCCTCGAACAATTATTGATTGGAATTAGGGATGCCGCGAACTTTTTTCGAATCGAAGTTTCGATGATCGAATCAAGCGGTTCGAAAGGTTCGAAAGATTTCGATTTTTCGAATTGTCTATATCGTAAAATTCGACGGAGGTCGAATTTTCGAACTTGTTAAGCTAAGAAGTTCGACGCTTTTCGAACCGTCGAACTTATTACGCTAAAAAATTCGATCTTTTTCGAACTTTCGAGCTTATTGCGCTGCAAGGTTCGATGCTTGTCGAACTTTCGAACTTGACTGACCAAAAAAATCGATAAATTTCGAACTTTCGAACTTATTTATCAGAAAAATTCGAAAAGTTTCGAACTTTCGATTTCTGAAAAGTCAGAAGTTCGACGAAATTCAAACTTATAGGGTAAAAGTTCGACGTTCGTCGAACTTCGAAAGACCGGCGGACGGTTTCATTTGATTTCAAGTAGTGGGGTACATTCGTAATTTTTTTTTCTCGAACTTTTACACGCGGTGCTGCGTTCCTTACGAAAGACAATGTCATTTATTTCAATGTTCTGGCATGCTTAGGTTTAAAGAAATAAATCCCCGAAGGGGCGAGGACGGACGACGGGTTTTTGACGATTATCGTTTGTGCCAGATTTGAAGCACGCTGCAGCCGGAGCTATTTATGGTAGATATGTTATACTTTTTTTTAAGAATGATCTATGTATAGCGTAGGTAAGTGCCGTCTTAAGATGTGATTGTTGTTATTCAACGTGAGTTTCGAAGAAATGTCCAAACATGTATCTGCACGCAATTATGACCTAAACTTGATATTTATTTTCGTCTAAGTTGTTTGAGGTATCGCATTTAAATTAACACCACAGACAGTACATATCATTGCCATCTGCAGAATACAAAATAATATATTTATTGTTTTTTCACGTCAAGGAATAAATTAACTCATGGCAGAAGATTTCTAGTAGTGTTCAAGTTCAGCACGTCATTAAAAGAAAACTTTTTTTTTTTTTCGCTTCACATTCCTGGGACGTGTTTCTTTTAGCCTGTACACATTTTGGTAAAAGAAACTTGTTTCGAAGTTCTGAACCTCTGAATATGCAAGAATAGAACACTTCCGACGAATTCTTGATAGTTTTTTTTTTTTTCTCCTGCTTTTTATTCCTGCATTTATTCTTTTTTTTTTTCTTTTGTTACTATCGGCACAGGTGTTTAGGTCGAAAAGACAGCTTTGAACTTCCGAACCACTAAGCATGTGACGAGCAGTGCCTTCTGACAACGAGTTTCTAACAATGACCATCTACGCAACCTTTTATGCAGTGAAGAGCGACAGTAGCTATACATATGCATAAATAATTTCAGATTAAAATAAGCTCGACCACGCCCTCTTTCCCCGTATTGTTTTCTTTAACAGTGCGAAATACCTGCAAGGGAAAGAAGGAGGCTGAAGCCCCCCCCCCCCCCCCCCCCGCTACCCTCTTTCCCCCCGTTTTGCCTCTTCCGACGCCACTTGTATGGTAGAACGCTCCTCGACCTCGAGTTGTGTCGGCTTTTGTGCTTTTTGCGAGGCGATTCCTCCGTCCCAGAAAATAAACCTCCAGTACAATTATAAACTTCACCGGATCGGATTACTACCAGCGTGCAAGGGGTGGCGAGCTAGTTTGCCAGGTCGCTTCAAGGTTTCTCTGAGCCTCAACCTCCTGCTCGCCCCTGGCCGTTTCGAACTGGATGAATCTCGTAAAACAGTGTGTTCGTGCAATCACTACTGCGTGATACAGACACCCCCCCCCGGGGGGCTGGCGGTCACAATTCTGCACTGGCAAATATTCTAGCACGTCCGGGACACTCGTCGTCTCATTTAATTGCCTTACCAACTTCGCAGAATCTAGATATCACACCCTAACTTTTCTAAACTTGATTTTGTGAAAACAAGTGAGTCGTGAAAACGTTATTTGAAACTGAAACTGTAGAAAAACTTGAAAATCGGACTTCAAACTTTGAAAACTTGGATTAAAAAAAATTCAAAATCTTCAAAGTTTTTTTTTTTTTTTCTTTTGAATTTAGCGTTAAAAGAGAATCGAAACTTTCGAACTTTTCGAACTTTATGCCAAAAGAAATTCGAAATCTTCGAATTGTTCGAACTTCATGTCTATAAAAATTCGAAGCGTTCAAAGTTTTCGAATTTTTTTTACAAAGAATTTCGAAATCTTCGAATTTATCGAACCTGAAGTAAAAAATATTCGAAATATTCGAATTCGAAATTTTATAAACCGTGTAAGCTTCGAAATTTTCGAATTCGAAACTCCGCTGTGGACAAAAGTTGCGAATTTTTCGAAATCGAACCTCGGTCGGTACGAAAATATCGAAATTTTTCGAAATCGAACCTCAGTTCGCTTCGCAAATATCGAAACCTTTCGAAATCGAACCTAGGGTGGTTCGCGACATCCCTAATTGGAATAGTTTGCCACCTGATGTCGTAAATACTACTAACTTCTTAGATTTTTGTTCCAAGTTATTGCAGCAAGTGCAAACTGTGTGATATTATGTTTGATCCACTCCTGTGACAACCTCGATAGAGGTTAACAGTATTAATAAAAATATAAAAAAAAAAACAGTGTAAAGGCAGGAGGCCTTCCATCGTGGCGTGAAGGGAGTAAAAATGTTCCTGTAATCGGTCGTTTAGGCATAGTCCAGTCTGTTCTATATAGCAACCGTCGCATGTTAAGTGGATCTTGTACACAACACCCTCCGAGCAGTGAACAAACTTGTGCTTAAGACGTTTTTGGCACCCGGGCGTTAAGCGATTGTCAATTATGGATCCTACCCTAGAACAAATCTTGGCCATCTTTGAGGGAGCAGAAAACACTACTGGGACCTCATACTGGTTAGAAAGTTGTTTCAAATTGTGTGAAAATTTATGCAAGTAGGGGGACTACCATTGATTGCTTTCTTGGTATATTTGGTCTGCTTTAGTGAACACCAACTAGAGCCACAAAATGAACTACGCTTACGGTATCAGCACTCCGTTTCCTGATATTGTCGTAGGTGTTGCCATCTTGATGCTTACTACTGAGCGGATGCAACTGCCGATCGTCATAATTCAAAAGTGTGACTTCCTCAGCATCAGATTCAATGTTAAGATGCTTATGTAATATTGCTTTTTTTTTTCTGTCGCTGTTTAAACATTTGTGGAGGACGGAAAAGCGTTTCCTATGATTTCAGATAACTAGCAACCATGATTTTTGAGCCCCAAGATGGGTGAGTGACTTACCCATCTCTGAAGCATAGCTTATTTAGTGGCTCTACCTTTAACAATGAGCAACAGAATCCCTAAAACCTCTTCAAGCGCCAGTAGGAGAAACCCAGCCACTTTTAGTCGTTCAAGGTGAGAACTACAACTATCCTTGACCCCATGGTAACACAACTTTCCCAGTGCAGAACCTAAGATGGCAATGGCTGTTTTACCAGCTTAGAATGGGAGGACGAGCATGGAAGAATGTGTTTCTTTGATCGGGTCAAAAAAGACCAGCAAACGTGATTTGTCTGGACAAATAACGAAAGGTCCAGGAATTGCGAGGTGCCATCTTTGGGTTGTTCGAAAGTAAATTTGAGGCCTAAGCCACACTTGTTGATGGTTTCCAAAACCTGATTTACAATATTACCTCCCGCATCTTTCCGATACACATTCAAGAAGTCATCAACATATCTAAAAATGTTCTGCACTAGTAGGGGCTAAGAGAGTCCTGAATAGTAGTGACAGGAAAATGTTGCTAAGGATTGGGGCAACACAAGACCCTATACATATTCCAGACTTTTTTAGGTTCATGGCATCCTTCCACCCTATGAACATAGATTTCAGATAGTACTTTAAAAGCTCGAGGAAGTCTAGTCTGGGTATCCTGGTAGCGTTTCGGAAGGGGAGCTCACTGTTAACTTCAAATACATGCTTGAACAGAGGCTAGCAAGGATTGAAAGGGAAGGGAATAGAAAAGATCTCCGACATTTACACTAAAAATGCAATGATTGCTGCACCTCTCAGATCTCGGCAAATCATTCGCATCTTACGTGTTGCGTATGAGAAATGAATCGGTGAGGCTTAAACCAGACAGGAGCTTTTGAAGGAAGGCAGCCACTTGCGCTGCCAAGCACCTCGTTCAGTAGCGATTACACAAAACGGGAAGGTGTCCTTATGCGTTTTTGCCCTAAAGAACACCTCGAGGTATGACCCATCTGCTGTTGCCTGCCAGTTGGGTCAACGTCATCTTGTTACAGAGATCTATAGTCCAATGCTTGGCCTCCTTTCGGTTAAAAGGCTCCAATCGGAAGTTCTTTATCAAAGCACTCTGTGTTGAAACATTCATTCTGACATGAGCAGAAAAGATCCTTCCTTGTCACGTGTAGCTTCTATCCTTAGTGACATTTCTCTGTCACTGGTTGATCATGCCATTCAGGTCTCCGTTAGTGTCCCCTACCAGTACAGAGTGTTTTTAGATATGTTTATGACTTCTTGATTGTGTATGAGAAAAATGTGGGAGGTAATATTGTAAATCAGGCATTGGAAACCATAAAAAAGTGGCTCAGACCTCAAGCCCACTTTTGAACAACACAAGGATGGCATCTTGCAATTCCTGGACCTTTCGCTAGCTGTACTGACCAATCACTTTTGCTGGTCTTTTTCGCACCGATCAAAGAAAGGCATTCTTTCATACTCGTCCTACCATTCTAAGGTGGTAAAACATCCATTTCCATCCTAGGTTCTGCCCTGGTAGTCCCTCCTGCATATATTTTCACATAGTTTGAAACAAGTTGCCAACCGGTATGAGATATCAGTAGTGTTTTCGGCTTCCCAAAAGATGGCCCAGATTTATTCTAGGGTGGAATCCATAATTGACAATCGCTCAATGCCCGAGCGCCGAAAGCGTCATAAGCACAAGTTTGTTCCCTGCTTGGAGAGTGTTGTCTGCAAGATCCCCCTAACGTGTGGTGGTTGCATATAGAACAGACCGGACGATGCCTAAACGACCGACTAAAGGAACATTTTCAATGCTTTCACGCCACGACGGGAGGCCTCCTGCCTTTACACTGTTTCATGTGCAAGTACCCTCCAACTTTTTCTAACACATTTTTAGGGAGATATCAAGCTCGCCAAAGCAGAAACATTCTAGAAGCCTATCATATTAAAAACAATTGGCCAGCAATGTGTGAGCCACCCCTCGCTCTCTTTGAGTGATATGGAAGTAGCTTTCCTAGCCAACGCCTACAACAATTGATTTTGGCCGGCCTAGTATTAAATTCTTTTTTTTTTTTCTCTTCTATTTTATTTTTCTTGATTTTAATTGAGGTCCCATTTTTTTTTGTTTCTTTCTTGTCTCTTTCTAGTACAACTCATTCATATATCACTGGTTTTCCTCTTTTTTATGGTGCATATGTTTCATTTCGCTTGCTTCGTCTTATTTCACAATAGATGAGTTGGGAGTCGGCGCTCTGTGTTCTTCCTCACTGCTTGTGCACTGTTTTTAATATGATCTTGCCTGCTGCAAAACTTGCTACAAAAGGTCAAATGCTGCCTTCATTACGGCTGGTTCTGAAATTTTCGTTCGAGCGCCACTCCAACGCAATGTGCGGATCTCAGCTGCCATAACAGCTATCTTGTGAGGAGTCTGTCATGTTTAAATGCAAATGTTTGAACAAGCCTTTACTGTGGTGGCTATTGAAACAAAAATCAACAAATCTGGCTTGGACAAGACTGCTGAGCTCACAATTGGGAGTGGATATTAATATTTATTTCACAGGGAGGAGATCAAAAGAATTGAGAAAATACTAAGCAAAGCTGGGAATTTCCTTAGAGCTTAGAGAACACAATAGCTGCTTGGTTCTATGGGTGATGCAAGGAAGTGCCTGTAAGTAATATATTTACCTATACACATAGTTTAAAGTACAACTTTTCCAAGCTTGGCAGCATAAAGATTCTGTTGATATAGGCATGGCTCACGCACATTTTTTATTTAAAATCGCAATGAGCAAACAACTTTGCACATTGGAGTGTAGGTGGTTACGTCTTAATGCATCGGTGATGTCTCGTTAAGAGAAACAAAGGGGGACTAACTAGGTGTGCATTTTTGCTTCAATGTATTATGAGTCACTTTTGGTGGGGACGAATTTGTCCATCTTAACGAGACATGACCGTACCGGTAGGATATGATGCCAAATTAACCCGGGAAGGTAGGTCCAACGTGTTAGCTGAATCCTAGATCAGCGTATCAGTCTTGCAAAGGAACGTCCGCTCATGTGGGGAACGACTCTGTGCGCATCGTGCTCACCCTTAAGGGCTGTGTCGAGGAAGTAGCTCAGGTAGTTTTTCAAGGAGCTCTCAAGGTTGAGAAGCTGCGCTGGCGAATCTCTGCACCTGGCCATGTCGCTGGGAAACATGGCCAGCAGGGCAAAGAAGTCCAGGAACGTTGCAATGGTGGGGTGGTGCACCTCCCAGTCGAAGAAAACCAGGACTGACATCTCCATGCAGGCCAGGTGGGTGCTTGTGAAAGCGTTGTGCATGAGCCTCACGATTTCCCCGTTGCTGGGAATGAGCGGATCTACCCCTTCTGCCTTCGCTGCAATCCAAGGGAATTAGAGCGTTCATTCGTCTCGGAGCAGTGTTGTCGCATGTACTGCAACCAGAGGTCGGCATTTTAGGTCGCCCTCACTCACCCTCACCCTCACAGCCACACTCACCTAAGCCCCTCACTCACCCTCACCCTCACAGCTACACTCACCTTCAGCCCCTCAGTCACCCTCACCCTCACAGTCACACTCACCTTCAGCCCTTCACTCACCCTCACTGAACCTCACGGCCCTCACGCACTCACCGCCCTCACGGCCCTCACCGCCCTCACGGCCCTCACCGCCCTCACGGCCATGCCCCTCACTCACTCATGGCCCTCACGACACTCACCGCCCTCACGCCACTCACCGCCCTCACGGCCCTCACCGCCATCACGGCCCTCACGGCCCTCACGCACTCATAGCCCTCACGCCACTCACCGCCCTCACGGCCCTCAAGGCCCTCACCGCCCTCACGGCCCTCACCGCCCTCACGGCCCTCACCGCCCTCACCGCCCTCACGCACTCACAGCCCTCACAGCCCTCACAGCCCTCACGCCACTCACCGCCCTCACCGCCGTCACCGCCCTCACGGCCCTCACCGCCCTCACGCCACTCACCGCCCTCACGCCACTCACGCCCCTCACCGCCCATGCGGCCCTCACACCCCTCACGCCCCTCACGCACTCATGGCCCTCACGCCACTCAGGCCAGCTTCAGATGGGGCAATTTCGCCCAGAAACTACGTCGCAACACCAGCAACACGGGCCGCCCGCGATCACACGCAGCAACCAATTGCTGCAATTTGCCATCGTCATCATAAAATTTTATTTTTCTTGTACTATTTAGACAGAATTATGCGGTATAAACATGTTTTTATGCATTTAAACCTCGTTAAGAATACTAATGCACCTTTCAGAAACAGTTTATTTCCAAAAAGAACGATCGATTTCAAACCAGAACCAAGTCATTCGGTGTCATCATCACCGGCACGAGGTATCACGTGAAAATTTTGCGTCCCTGATCGGATGCAGCCGCTTCAAACGTATTCGAATTGCGCCGAGTTGCTTGCTTATTTCGAGCCGGACCCAATTTCAGCAATTCGTGTCGACCTAGGGAAAGCTAGAGAACAACCCGTCATTAACACCAAAATTGCTGAGAAAGATGCTCGATCTGAAGGGGGCCTCACGCACTCACCGCCCTCACGGCCCTCACGCCTCTCATGCCACTCACTGCCCTCACGCACTCATGGCCCTCACACCCCTCACGCACTCACCGCCCTCACACCACTCACGCACTCATGGCCCTCACGCCACTCACCGCCCTCACGCCCCTCACGCACTCATGACCCTCACCGCCCTCACGGCCCTCACCGCCCTCACGGCCCTCACCGCCCTCACCGCCCTCACCGCCCTCACAGCCCTCACTCACCCTCACACTCATGAATTTTCCTGGTTCAAAAACTCACTCACCCTCACCTCGCCTGTGAAGATGAGGGTGAGTGAGGGCCCTCATGAGTGAGGTTTGCCGAGGTATGACTGCAACTGAAATCGTGCTTGAAAAGCAAGAAAGCTGCAACTTTTAATCTCGGGGGAAAAAAAGAAAACAATGCATTGTTTGCATATACTTCGATCTTGTTTTTTTTTTGTTTTCTAGACCGGTGCTAAGAGACGTGCACGCCATTTTTACCTGCCACGACGAGGCAGGCCAGGGACAGCATTTCCAGCTGGTGCAGCTCGATGTCGTGCTCGTCCATGAAGAAATCGAGCAGGTGCGTCGCGAGGTGGTGGACCGCGACGCAGAGGTGCATCTTGTCGCACATCTCGCCAATGAAACGCACCAGGTCCCTCCTGCAATGCAGTTGGGGCGACTGGCCGCGGTACTCCATCCGCCGTCGCTCCCTAACGCGCAGGTAGCTGTAGATGTCCGACGCGTAAGTGGACAGCCACCACCTCTCGACCAGGGCCATGCCTCCAGGGACACTCCGATCTGCGCTATGGTTCGGCCGTTTACCACCAGACGGATGTGCCTTTAGCGCATCTACTAAAACTGTCGCGGAACAGTTTAACGCTCCCTTTCCAGCAAAACTCCAAAAATGTGACCTCACGTACGACTGACTACCGTCGAAGACGAGCAGACGACTACATACAGCCCACTGTAACCGAGTGCGCTGCAGTCAGCTGTGAATGAACCAAACGCGTTAGTGGCCATACCAGCAATGCCCTACTCGGAAAAATTTAAAATGAGTTATTTTGGGGCCATACCTTATTTTGTGCAGTTCACACGGTGCAGCCCTGCACCCTATGCTCGTGGTCGAACCGTTGAATGGCCACGAGCGTGCCCCAAACCAGGCGCTTCTGCGTCACGGTTTCTCTTTCTTTTTTTTTGTAACCGTGGTTTTCTAGAGGGTGTTGAAATTGGCACGAAATTCGTTGTCTTTGTCATTTTATTAGAGATGTAATCGCAGGCGATTTTAAAGCTCCTGGTCGTACCCGCCAAATACTCTTTCTCAGCAGGCGTCACCACTGTCGGTTTCCCGCCACCATTGCCACCATCATCATTGCCAGCTGTTTGTCAAGCATGGCGACGTTCATTCCAAAAGTATCTTTGTTATCGTCGCGAATTATCCGTATTTTAGGATGCAATCCGGGCCCCATGACATTGCAAGGAACGAATACTTACCTCATTGGAACGGGAAAGCGACGCATTTTGTTGGACACTGGAAATCCGAACGTGTCTGAGTACATCCAGACTCTTAAGTCCGTCCTGCGTGATTACGACGTCTCCCTGCAACAGATTCTTGTCAGCCACTGGCACCTAGACCACGTTGGCGGCGTCGACGACATCCTTACCAATATCGAACCGGGGTGCAAGGTAAATAAGCTGTCCTTCAAGAATGACAGGTCCGACTTCGTGCCTCTTAAAGACGGAGAGTGGGTGCGTACCGAGGGAGCGTCGTTGAAAGTAATCGCAACGCCGGGTCACACCCAGGACCATCTAGTCCTTTATCTGGACGAAGAGAAGGCGGTGTTTAGCGGGGACTGTATGCTCGGCGAAGGTACGGCCGTTTTCGAAGACCTGCATTCCTACATGGGTTCTCTGGAGAAGATCCTTTCCCTGAAGCCGTCCGTCATCTACCCGGGCCACGGGCCCGTCATTTCGGACCCGGAGCCGAGGATAAGGGAGTACATTAGACACCGCCTCTTGAGAGAGCGACAGATTCTCGACACGTTGGCTGCCCTTAGTCCGGAGAGCCTGACGCCCATGCAGCTCGTGGAGAAAATCTACGTGGACACACCGGTCCACCTTCACAGAGCCGCCGGGGTCAACGTCCAGCATCACTTGGACAAGCTGCTCAAAGATGGTAAAGTGACGGCCAGGCAGAGTGACCCGGTCGAGTATAAAATTGCCTGAATGACGGCGTAGTGGGGAGTGCTTGTGGCTGGAGTGACTCATGAATAAACAAGCAGCAGTCGTTTACATGTTATGTCATAAGCTTGTGACACATTTTCTTTTTTTGCACCATCGGGGGGGGGGGGCTATGTTTGACAAATGTTTCGTTTGAGAGAGAGAGAAAGCGTTGTGAATGTAGATTGGGGGGGGGGGGGGCACTCTCGCTGCCAGTGTTGGGAAGTACTTCAAGTACTACTTCAAGTAGGTTTAGGCAACTTGTACTTTACTTGAAGTACATTCTCTGAGTATGTACTAGTACTTTCAGAGGAAAGTACAATTTCCGACTTCAAAGTACATTCCCCAAATTTGGTTTTGTTAAATTTGTATGAAATTATGCTTTGTGAACTCCGAAGAAATACTGCCATTTCGTCGTTTACCCTGAGACGGGTTTTTTTTTGAAGAGCAGAAGTAACAGAAAAAACAGACAGGTCTCAAACTCAGCTACACGTTTATTTCAACAACTTCCTCTTATATAGTTTGTTCTCCTCGTCAACAACCAATCACATACGACTTGTCCTTTGCACCGTGACTTTACAGGTTCCACTCTATCACAAAAGAAGCGGACACTCCCAACGTTTCCAAGTGAAAAGGTTCTAGCAGAAGATATGTCTCACAAAGCTTCAAGCAACTCTTTTGTGTCCTCACAATAAACAGGACAACAGCCCACAACAACATCCCACTCAAACCTGGTCACCTCCAAAATTGTAGAAAACAGACAATACACACCAGTACACACCACAGACAATACACACCAAAGAAGCCTTTCAGGATGACTAAAAAAAAAACACTTAAAACTGTAAAAATTGCTTCCAGCGGTGTAAAAGCCGGGGTAGTCAGATCTTTGATTAGTGATGCTTTGGTGAGATCATGCATGCATTTCAGACCGGAGGCACTAAAAAACCAGTGGGAAAGACTGGTAATGGCAGGATATGGGGAAAAGTACATCAAAAGGCAGATTGCCCTACAGTGCAGGGAGAAAAAGGGGAAGACGCAAGAAATCAGGAATAGGTACGCTGTGGTTCCGTATTTTCACGAGGTGTCCCACAATCTTAGAGCATGTGCAAAAAAATATGGCGTGGATGTCGTATTCAGCACGGATTTTAGGTTAGATAGATTGACACCTTTTGAAACGGTTCAGAGGGGCTGTCAGAAGGCGCTTAGGGAAAAGTCGGTGCCGTGTAGCGTAGGCGTGGTGTATGAGGTTCCTTTGGCGTGTGGTTTTAAGTATGTAGGCCAAACCTCTCGGTGTTTGAACGATCGTTTAACAGAACACAAAAGGAATGTTAAAAATAATGCAGCAAATTCGGAGTTGGCTAAGCATCTGGAGGAGTGTAGAAACTGCACAACGGATTGGTCTGGAACGGATGTAGTTGTTAAGGAAAGCAACGATGTTAAAAGGGTGGTAAGAGAAACAATTAGGATTAGATCGTTGGGAAATTGTATTAGTCAACCTTCCATGCAAATAGGGAACCGCTGGAAGCAATTTTTACAGTTTTAAGTGTTTTTTTTTTTTTTTTTTTAGTCATCCTGAAAGGCTTTTTTGGTCTGTATTGTCTGTTTTCTACAATTTTGGAGGTGACCAGTTTTGAGTGGGATGTTGTTGTGGGCTGTTGTCCTGTTTATTGTGAGGACACAAAAGAGTTGCTTGAAGCTTTGTGAGACATATCTTCTGCTAGAACCTTTTCACTTGGAAACGTTGGGAGTGTCCGCTTCTTTTGTGATAGAGTGGAACCTGTAAAGTCACAGTGCAAAGGACAAGTCGTATGTAATTGGTTGTTGACGACGAGAACGAACTATATAAGAGGAAGTTGTTGAAATAAACGTGTAGCTGAGTTTGAGACCTGTCTGTTTTTTCTGTTACTTCTGCTCTTCAAAAAAAAAAAAACCCAGACTCAGGGCAAACGACGAAATGGTTGACTTCCACCAGCTAGCCTGTACTTTGACTCTTTTCTAAGAAATACTGGGTGGGATATATTCTACTCTCACCAGAGACGTGAGCAGACGATGCATCGCTCCGGTTGTTCTGGGGGCGGCTTCCCCGTAGCTTTTTGAACTCGCTACTTCTCGGTCGGTCAGCGCAGGCGAGGAGGTTTAAATTATTAGGAGAGAAAAATGAATCATAATCTAGCACCTGAAACTATGGTGCGAACAATTAAACTTTCAAGTCGAAAAAAAAAAAAGACAACAGGGGAGAACGTCACAATGTTTTACACTCTCTTTTTTCTTTTCCTTTGACTTGAAAGTTCCTTGATTTTTTCGTACTATAATCTCAGGTGTCACATTATGGTTAATTATCACCCGCTTTCTTTCACACTCACTTTTTTTTTTTTTTTTTTAATTAAAGAGAGGAGACTTCTTTTTGAGAGGATTGCTTGCTGGAGCTACGGGGCTGACGTCATGGCGCAACAATCCAGTGCAAGCGGCGCCAAATTCAGAAGAGGGACTTCCGAATTTGGCTCCATTGTGCTATCAAATATTCGCCGCTGTTTTTGAAAATAGGTCATGCACCCTTGGGCAATGCATGCCAGTTCAAAATCACTGTAAACGGGAATTAAAGGACGTCATCAAAGATTGTGTTAAAATACTTGTCATTTTCTTTTAAAGTACGTTGTATTTATAGTACGTACTTTAATTACTTCAAGTACAGGGTGTCACAAATGAAAATTTACACGGTCTTTTTTACTGCTAAAATAAACTAGGCATCCCCCAACGCTCATTTTCCGCCTAATGGTAGAGCTAGAGGTCACAACCAGATGCCAAAGTTTCAGCCCGATCCGATAACTTAATCAAAAGTTATAAGTGATTTTCTGAAAATTTCAATGGGAAAATGGAGCCCATTTTCGCCCGTTTTCGGTTTCTGGTGCCATAGAGCCCCATGTGTTTGAAAACTCCGTCGGCCGCCATTTTCCCATTGAAATTTTCAGAAAATCATTTATAACTTTTGATTAAGTTATCGGATCGGGTTGAAACTTTGGCATCTGGTTGTGACCTCTAGTTCTACCTTTGGGCGGAGAATGAGCGTTCGGTGATGCCTAGTTTCTTTTTGCGGTAAAAAAGACCGTGTAAATTTTCTTTTGTGACACCCTGTACATTGCACCTAGAGCACTATATAGCTCCTTCGGAGCAGAGTAGCGCAATCTAGAACACCGTCTCTCGGCGACTAGTGGACTAGCGGCGAACGCCCGGAGGTTCCAACTCCGGTCAGAAATGCATGGAGAACGTGAGAAAATCGTTGTTTCTTCAGTATTGTGGGGATGTACGGAATGGGCAATCATTTTTGACATAATAATGGAACATTTTAGAATAATTTGCGCTAAGTTTTGTGCCACACAAGGACGTAACTTTTTTTTTAAAAAATTGCCTGAGCGGCATCATGCAGCAGACGACACTGCGACGTCACACCATTCACAGGACCCGCTCCGGCCAACCCGAAAAGCCCATCTTCGCTGCGAGCAAAAATCGTCTGCTTCAAACGCCATTGCGTTGGAAATTGCCTTCTCAAAATTTGCACACGCATCCGATATTATCAAAACTTTGATAAAGTGTTTAGCGTTTTACTAAATTCACGACAAACTAGTTTGAAAAAGTGTGAACTCGCCGTTCATTTTTTAATCAGCCGTGTTGTGTCGATCTCCATGTATTCTCCCATAGGGCGGGCCGCCTCCTGGAACCCTCAGTACCACGTGACTCGCGCCGAGCCGCTCTGTCGGCCTAGTTGTCGGCAAAACACGGGGTTTAAAGGATTGCGCTGCTCTGCTCCGGAGGAGCTATATAGTGCTCTACTTTACCCAACGCTGCCTCGCTGCGCACAACCGTAAAAAAAAAAAAAAAAAAAAAAAAAAAAGATTGCAGTGGTTTGCGAGAAATTGTTTAGAAAAAAGTGCGCCCTCAGGGGAACTTCTTCACCCACATTGGGGAGGCAAGCACTCGTACGCACAGATGGTTTACGCCGGCCAGGGTGCGCATTGTGTAAGCGCGTGTGTGTGCGCGTTGGTGGTGGAAGCGATTGCAATATACCTTGGCGATTGTATGATGGCGGCGCCGCCGGGGACGAAAAGGAACGTCGCGCCGCTAGTCCACTGGAAGAGCATTCGCTGCACACACCGAACCATACAAAAACATACACCCACACACACACATCACACATGCTTCAGCATCTGTTTATCCCCCACTGTGGTTCCTCTCCCAACCCCGGAACACGCTTCCGAAGAACATGCCGCTAAAGAAAAAAAAAGTAATGGCCAGTTTGGCCCGCTTTGTCCCCCCTTGTAGACTTGAATGCAAGGCACGTACCGGCCCGAGGGCCAGGCCGGCCCTTGGCCCCCGGACTGGCCCGTACCAGTGCAGATCTCTACCTGCTACGCTGACGGCTTGCTCCTCTGTTACTAGTGATGGGACGAATCACCGGAGATTCGGATTCGGTCAGATTCGGAAATTTCCGAACTTCCCGCGACGAATATTCGGGAGATTCGGAGATTCGTCGGATTCGTCGCTGGTTGCAGGCGGCAGCGTGAACCTTGTCGTAAACCTCGCGAATGCGGTTAGTTGTGTCTTTTTTAGGTACTGTTACTGCATATAACCAGATTTCGTCTTGTTTATTTCAACGTATGGTATGTACTGTACTGTCATTCTAAACCCTGGCCCGCGCCCAGGTCCCGCTGAGCTGATCGGTGTGGTTGACGTAGCCCTAACCAATGCACTGTCTCAACTTCTGTGCGGTTTCGTGGTGATCGGTAAAATGTAGCGAAATGCTATGCATTATATTTATACATAATGTGGCGCAACGCACAATAAATATATTCAGGCATAGCCTCCTCTATACGGAGAAAGCCTGGCGCGTCGCGTGAAAAGACGGCCGCCGTAAATGGGAAAGGAGGGGCGGAGAAACGGGAGCGGAGAGAACCTTGCCCGCTAGCGCCACAAAAGAGCGAGCGGCCAAACGCAGAAACAATATTTTTTCTTTTTTTTCTCTCTTTTCTTGTCGCTATCGTGGGGAGGAGAAACTCAACGTCCACCCTTTCCCGTTTCTCCCTGCGCCCTTTCGAATCGCCGCGCCCGTTTCTCCCGGAGTACAAAAACGACGGTGACGAAAACACAAGAAGAAGCGTGGTTCGGGGAGCGGCCGCTCATGACCCAAGCGCTCGCTGTCTAGGTCTGCCCTTTCTGCTCTGCGCTACCATATTGGTCACCGTTCGGCGCGCTCCTCCTCTCCTTTTTCCTGCGGCCGCGCGCTCTATGGCTCCGTCGTCGATGTGCCAGGCTTTCTCCGTATAGAGGAGGCTATGATTCAGGCAAAGAAATGAATCGTCTCCTCTAGAGCTGCGTGTAAGGCGCGAGAGCGAGATGACTGTTGCTCGTCACAACTTCCGCGTACCGGCACCAGTGGCGAAGAAAAACTCCGCACTGTCGTCACTGTCGTTTCTTCGTTGTCGGCAGCAAGTTTTGTGTGCGTGAACTTCATTTGATGAAAAAGAAACACAACATAGGGGGGAGGGGGAGGAAGGGAAAGGGGGAGGGGGGGGGGGTGGGGTCGGTCGGTCCAACGCAACTTTATTGTTCGGAAACAAACTCTAACTAAATCGAATATCATTAACAGTTTCAGATTGTTTCCTCTGTTCTGATAACAAGACCTCATTAGACACACGTTGAAGATAATCGAATCGAACCAACTCACTTGTGTGGTGGAAATACAAATACACGTGAAAATACAAACTCACTCATGCGCCTGTATTTCCACGTGCACCAAGCATGCGTATTTTGGTCGTAATCCGGAACCGAAACCAATTTTCCCGCGATGTCTGGCTACCGTTCTCGACAAACATCCAAAATAGCAAAGCAAAACATTTTATTTATTACTTTGATATTATATTACAATATTATTTAGTGCACTTTGTAGAATTTAGTGAATTTAATATCACGAAAAGTTGAAACACTCATCAACGTGATCTGGCAACCATGGCAATGCTCCGAATCTTTCCGAACTTATCCGAATCGCTTGAGATTCGGCTACTCTTCCGAATCTTTCCGAATCTTCAGATTCGGCTCCGAATCGAGATTCGGATAAAGATTCGTCCCATCACTAGTTATGACTTCTTATTATGACTGGGCAGACAGCGCCGCCTCGCGGCGAGTGACGGAGTTAGCGCAAGTACACTCTTCTGCTGGGGAGCAACTCGAACCGCGCTTCGGGCGCGCGCACTGATCTCAATGACAATTGCTGGATCGCGCTTGCCGCTCCCGCAAGTGAAGCCACCGGGCTTCACTCGCTTGGGATACGATTTGCCGTTTTTGCTAGCCTTTGCTGCGGTTTTCCAGCGTGCTGACGACACATTTTCTACTCGTTCGTCGTCATTCGCCGAAGAAGTTTTTTGAAGACTCTGTGTATTGTTGAGACTTGCCGTTGTGAACACGTGGAAAATTTTACGAAAGTGCAGTGTCGCAGGAAAAAGGCACAACGCGTCGAAAGGAAGGGCTGGCGGCGTGTTCAAAGCTTCCTTGGCACGCCGAAGTGCCGTGTCTCTGTGCCTTCGCGCGCTTGGATACCGACCAAGAACCGACGCCGTGTGGATGTGTTTAGCGAGTGCAATGTGCGTGAAGCCGTATCAAAAGGTACAACTCGTCGAAAACGTGTCGCCGGTGTCGCGGCGTGATCAAAGCTTCCTTGGCACGCCGAGTAATGCATCTTTGTGCCTTCGCACGCTTGGATACCGGTCAAGAATTGACGCCGCGCCAAAGTTCTGAACGTGTGTCGCGCGTAGATGCCTTTAGATCATTTATATATATCGGCCACGGAGTTCTGGATCGTCCAGCTGTTCCGGTGAGTTGCTATCAATAAAAGGGGGAGATCTGTACGTGTTCTTATGTACTATATTAACCATGGCTATGTCCCAAATCTACTCTAATAGATTCCGTGGGAGCACGAATAGGGCAACGTTGTGGAGCCAGGGGGGTTTTCGAAAGCAAAAGTACAAGACGGCGAGAATGAAAATCTTTGAAGCGCGGCCGATATGGTCGTGTGCAATCTGTTGACCAATTACAATTAGGCGAGCCGCGCTCAAACGTCAAGTGCAATTAAGTAGGTTGATAATCAGCCAGCACTGATCAGTGATGAGGAGCTGTTGTGCACGGTATTGTGTAAATCGTCTAAGGACGAAAAAAAGACGTACCTTCTCCCCATCTTCCGTCGCTAGTGGACGCTGGATTAAGCTCGTTCCTAAACCGCGAGGGGAAAAGACGCTGATCCAGAGGCACGAACAGCTTCACGCACATTGCACTCGCTGAACACATACACACGGCGTCGGTTCTTGGTCGGTATCCAAGCGTGCGAAGGCACAGAGACACGGCACTTCGGCGTGCCAAGGAAGCTTTGAACACGCCGCCAGCCCTTCCTTTCGACGCGTTGTGCCTTTTTCCTGCGACACTGCACTTTCGTAAAATTTTCCACGTGTTCACGACGGCAAGTCTCAACAATACACAGAGTCTTCAAAAAACTTCTTCGGCGAATGACGACGAACGAGTAGAAAACGTGTCGTCAGCACGCTGGAAAACCGCAGCAAAGGCTAGCAAAAACGGCAAATCGTATCATAAGCGAGTGAAGCCCGGTGGCTTCACTTGCGCTGCAGCGAACAAGCGGGGAAGCGCGATCCAGCAATTGTCATAGAGATCAGTGGGCGCGCGCGTTTCGGGATCTTGGTTGTTCCGGAGTGGACGCTGCGAGAGAAATGGCGGCGTTGCGATTGCCATTAGTTGGGTTCTCGAGTGTGGATCGGAGCAATTGATCGGAGCCACTTTTTTTCCAACCGAGTTCTAGAAACGTTGGTTGTACCTAACATGACATTGTCACGGCATGGTGTCACGTGACAAGTGGCGTGGCGCGCCATGATATCACGTTGCGTCACTGTGTCATATGACGTCACGCTTTCATATGACTTCACATGTCACGGATGATGCCATAGCGGCCATAGTGCCGCGTGACATTGACATCACCGAGGTTACATGCCACAGACAAAAAAACCCTAAAATTGGCCCTAAAAATGCTATGCATAAAAAAAAAAATCTTGTCCGTGATTTATGACAGCGCTAGTGCACCCGTCAGCTTTTCCAGCGTATTTCTTTTTTTTTTTTTTCTTTTTTGAACCCGGTGGTAGGTATTTGGATAATAAAAAAAAAGAACAGCAAAAATCTGGAGATCAAGGCAAGGTCTCGTAGTTCACTTTTAGAACAAAGTGGTGAACTTGCGGTGGCGCATTGGGGTGGGGGTGTGGCTATTTTTGGCCGACGCGGTCGCCCCTTGGGGAAGCGAAATCGAAACCTCGGCACAAGCACCGACGTCTGGCGAGAGTCGGAGCTCTACGTTTCCGGTTCCGGCAAAGCAGCCGCCGAAGAAGGAAGGAGTGAGGCGAGTGAGGTACTTACGTTGGGTAGGCGGTACGTATCGTCGACGAGGCGTGCCGGTCTGCAAGAATGTCGTACAGGAACAGTAAGTTTTTCGCGCTTTCGTCCGCGAACCAAACTTTTTGTGAGTTCTGTCTCCGCACCACAAGTGTCTGGCTTGTCGTTTGCCGCAGAGGATGGCTCGCAGCGAGCGTTTTTCGCTCAGTCGGCTCGGCCGAAAGGAAACAAAATGATCTGTCGGCTTGCTCCGTCCCTTGCGACCGGCGCTGGCCGGGAGACGGGGGAGGGGACAACCCAAAAACGGCACCCCAGACACCTGAGAAGAGTTTTGGGGGCCCTTTTCACCTCGCCCCCTCGAAGCAATCCTTATGCCCACTCGTAATTTCGCTGCCAGTGCGATCCTCTGGGCAAGCGGGAGTGCCACCGGCTTTGTGTACCGCTTTTTTATTGTTTAGGTTTGGTGTCGGCAAGTGCAAATGAGTCGGCACCCCCCAATGATGCACAGGCAACTACTTTTGATCGGCGTTAGGGGCGTTTGAAGCGTGTCGGCGAAAGTCTTGCTTCGTCGCTTGAACCGCTTGCACGGTGGTCGCGTGGCTTCGTGGTGCAAGGCGGTTGTAGGTGCCTGCGAAGCTATGATTCACCACCGTGGCCGGCGGCTTCCTTTTGAACATTGGACGGAAGTAGGGGCGCCGGTTCGGGTGGGATGTTTGGTAGGACGTTCTGGTCAGCTCGTCACTGGTTTTGTTCTCGAGATTTCTAGCTTTCGGACTCTCTCCAAGACTGTCTCTTGGGGTGTTCGTAAACGCCGGTATCTTCAGACGCCAGTACCTTCGTGACCGCGGAATAAACCTCGCATGCGACAAAGTTGTGGGCGAGTTTCGTCGCCCGAAACAAAGAATATTCCTTTGATTCGTGTAGCTTTTTGGTTGCCGATTTACTGCTCGTCGGGAGATGTCTGCTTGTATACATGCGTTGAAGATGGCTCACAAATGCCTTTTGGTGGATTTTATAGCTGTTTAAGTTTGCTCAACTATCTTGGATGCTCAAAAGGACAAATACAGGAGGTGCCAAGCTGAGGGCAGCAATTCTAATTTCACGTGTCTCATAGGAAAGGCAGACTGTTTGGCAGCTATTCTCTCGGTATGAATCCCAAAGGAGCCCTAGAAGTCAAGGTTACACACATTCTGAACTTCTCATCTGTGTTGCAGGATATCTGCATTCTGTAAGCCTTTGTGGGCTCCAAATTTTGGCAAGGCACCCCTTCTCTTCTAAGCACGTGCAGCTGGCTCATGGGGGATCGGTGAACCTTTAAGGCCACGGTCCCACTGAATGTGGCAGTTTAGGTACTTTTTGGCAGGTCATTACTCATCTCCTTTTAAATACTGTTTTGTGGGATTGATGTCATTCGAAAGGCAATGCAATCCTTTCATTTGATATTATGTATGCGTTGGTTTTTACTGTTCATGCGCGTTTGTAGCGTTGTGAATATAATGGCGCGGACCCTCACTTGCTCTGCTAGTTCATGTTTTATGAACGATCCATTAAAGATAGCACGGTTCCAATATAGAAGCTTTGTTAAGATGATGTCGGAGCAGAATATAACGATACACTTTTTTGGTATTTGCACTACTTTGTTTTTTTCATCCCTCCAAATATTGCCCTAAAATTGACATTTTTCAGCACAAATATGTTTTTAATGGCAGGTGCTAGGGCAATGAAATTAGCTACAGATGTAGTGCTTATAATTGGTAATATGCAGAAAAAAATTTAATGTTGTGTAAAATATTTTTGTTTAGATATTTTATATCAAACGTAGCACTTATTTGTGCTTTGAGTCATGGTACTTCAAATGCCGCTGAGGAAATGTTTAAACTATGATAATATCTTTTATAACATTTAAAGCTACAATGGTTGCCCAAGAGGTGGACGATGGCTTTTTTTCATTTTCAAAGTCATAACGCTCGAGGAGCGCTTCAAACCAACACCACCTAGACAGAAGGCCTCCGCATGGTTTCCTCTTCTTCTATGAAACGTCACCACAGTCGGATCGCACTCGGTCGGCTATTGGACCCGAGCCCGACCTTCGACGCGCTGATTGGCCACGAGCCGCAGCCGAACACTGACGCAGCACTCGTGCCCAATCTCTCGCCTCGATCGATCTGACTATGATGACGCGTGTGGAGGCCTTCTGTATAGGTTTTGACGCATATCTTTTTTGGACATCAAACAGTTTTATTGGCATCTAATAATATTTATTGTTTGGAATAGATATACATTGCGATGTATTAAATTTTCACAATGATCTTGCTGTGGTTTCTTAATAGGTGTAGAGCGTAGCTACCGTATTTACTCGCATATTGGTCGATACGTCGTATAGGTCGACCCCCTAACTTCGAAACCCCCGAAAAAAAAAAAAGTTGAAAAATATAATACCGGGATTCGCGTATTGGTCGACCCCCCAGTTTTGATGAGGCGATTTTTGAAAAACAGGTCGACCTATACGCGAGTAAATACGGTAATTTTAAAAACAATTAAAAACTGTTTGGGCGTTTTGTTGCGCTACCTGGCGGATGGCTGACGAACTGCTGATTTCTAGTGTTCAAAAAAATTTCCGAGGGCGGCGTTGGCGTCTGTATCATCATCAATCTCCGTGTCTTTTTACCTTCACATTTAAAAAATATATTGGAAGATTTACTATCGATAAATGAATGGTTTAAGTACTGGGTCAGGCTAATAAATCTAAGACAAATAATTACACAAACGTAGCGTGATATTATGTGTTCATTATTCAATATGAATGAAATCGATAAACAATAAAGAAGAGGAAAATAATACACCCGAGTTCACTTCATGCCTAGAGTCACTACATGAGCTTTAAAGTATCGGCACTCCGTTCCCCAAAATTGTTTTGGGCGCCGCCATTTTGGGTCTTGCTCAGAGCAAGACCCAAAATTGTTTTGGGCGCCGCCATTTTGGGTCTTGCTCAGAGCAAACGCAACTGCCGATCATCATGATCCAAAAGTACGACTTCCTCAGCATTAGATGCGGTGCTAGGAAGCTGATGCAATATTGCAATGCTCTGTCGCGGGTTGTTTAAACATTTGTGAGGGACGGAAAAGCCTTTCCTGTGATTTTAGATAAAGCTTCATATAACTGGCAACCATGATTTTAAGCCACAATATGGCCGGGTGTCGTTACTCTGAACCGTAGCTAATTTACTGGCACAAGCGGGAACAATGAAGAAGAGGCAGGTGTCAAAAGGTAGTGGCTTGTGGAATCCACGGGGCTTACGTCATGGCCCCTCCAGGTATTACAAGCCTCTTGAACAAGAGCATGAATAGTGTCATTAAATAAGCTACGCTTCAAAGTAGCGACACTTGGCCTTATTGTGGCTTAAAATCATGGTTGCCAGTTATTTGAAGCTTTATCTGAAATCACAAGAAACGCTTTTCCGTCCTCCACTTCAAACAGTTTGCGACAAAGCAAAGCAACATTGCATGAGCTTCCTAACACCGAATCTAATGCTGAGGATGTCGCACTTTTGAATCATGACAATCGGCAGTTGCGCCTGCTCTGCACAAGCACCAAAATGGCGGCGTTCACAACACTGTCGGGGAAGAGAGTGCCGATACTCTAAGCGCAGCTCATTTATTGGCTCTAGTTCCCGCGAAACTCCTTTTCTCTGACTGAAACTGAAAGTAAATACGAATAATACACCATTACTAGAGCTTATCTAGTTATAACCAAATACACATAATGAGAGGAGGAAGCGGGTGGGTAGGAGAAACGCGGTTTTTATGCGCGACCGTTCTAACTGTCTCAAAGAGAGAACGCACGAGCTTGCGCTGGTTTAAAAAAAAGGCATCCAAAAAAAAAAAAAGAGGCGGCACGCTGTGTTCTTTGTTATTATGCGTCTAATTGCCAATTGTTGTGTGTATGTTTATACAGCCGGAAGTTAGTCTGCCTTAGTGGGCTTTTGGTGTCTCAGCTGTAGATGAGTAATTTAGCCAGTGCGGTACAACCGCAAACCTGGGGTCTTTAACGTGCACCACGCAGCAGGGATACACGACCGCACGCCGGTACGATGCTCTTCCAGATCAAAACGGACAGGGGCAGGGTGGGTTCTGCACCGCGAGCTTTCGCTCCAAGTGCTCCGAGCTGGTGTGCGCTAGACCATGCACTCGGCCACCTCCCCCCCCCCCCTCCCCCCCTTGTGCGTCTAATTTATATTCAAGTATAACTATTTGAAGATCGACGATGGACGTCGATCGTCTCGAGGTAATGTAACGTAATAACATTATATAAATAATAAACTTGTTGATGGACTGAATGACTAAATTTTTCAATTCTTGGATTGTAATATGGCGGTAGCCTATTGTACTTACTGTTGATGAATAGCAATATGAGGTGACGAGGTAATGATTATATGATGAGGCTCTATAAGGACGACGACATTAGTGGGTGTCGAACCACAACGTACAGTGCCAGACTTGTTTCAAGTATCGTGTACCCAAACACTTTCTTCACCCGCAACAGTATATGGTAGAATCAATGAGGATGCTGCTTTACAACTGTACGTGGAACAGGAAAACTGCACTGTGCAGAAGTGCGGCTTATTCGTTAATATGAGGGACGGATTTCTAGCAGCATTCCCTGATTGACTACTTGGAACAAATGGCCTCGTTGACGTAAAGTGTCCCCGTTCCAAAAGATTCTTGAAGCATACTTAAACCGCAAAGGAGTATGAGGCGAAAAATAAGAAAAAGGAGCCTGGTGTGAAAGGTCCAAATCACCACCATAGCTTGTACTATCAAATACAAGGGCAGTTACACACTACACAAAGAGAGTTTTGTGATTTACACTCAAGGCATTGACATCCAACATATTCAGAGAGATGACACCTTCTGCTCAACCAATAGAGCCTTTTCTACTCAAGTTTTACATGGAAGGCCCGACTTCCGCTGAAATTCTTTACGTAGACGAGTTGTCCGACCCAATAAACTGCCATTACTCCCGATCTGGGAATCTCTCGATCTTTGTTCGTAGGCCATAGTATCATGAGATCGAGGGGTGTGGCTCTTCGTCCGCCGAATATTGCTTCGGCGGGTTTTTTTCCGTGTAAGATGAGACCGTCGCGTGCTGCCGGAACAAGAACCTGGCGATTCTTCACTGAACTGCTTCTTCCATAAGCTTCAAACGGGCTTTTTTTCATTTCGCACACCATCTGTTCTGCTTGCCCGTTAGCTGCAGGATGGTATGGTGCACTATACTTTGCTTCACCTTGTGTTGTACCGCAGGAAAGGCTACAAGCGCGTGCTCCTTGCTCTAGGGCACATCTTGGCGGCACAAGCTCTCGTGCACAAAGGGCAGCTGCCAACGATATGAGCTCGTGCGTCTAGCCTTTGCTGCGGTACAACATAAGGTGAAACGGAGTATAATGTGATGCCTGATGCCGGTTTTTTCTTCTTCAAAAACTTGTTTATTTTATTTGAAGCAAGATTTGGCGCGTTATCAGAGAAAAGTATTTTCGGTAGGGCAAAAGTAGGTAAAAGAGACCGTAGAACGTCAATGACTTGTTTGGACGTCATGGCAGGCATCGTGTAAACTTCCAGCCACTTAGAGTATGCATCGCCCATGACTCTGCAGATGTGGATACGTTTCGCCACCCACCAACTGAATAGTGGATCGTTTTCAGTTACTGTTCATGATGGCGTTGGACTCAAGAAACTCCAGTGTAAAGCACAGCACGTAGCCACGTGCTGTGCTTCACACTGGACGCTTACCATTCGCCGAGAAGAAACTTGCTTGTTCGTCTGCCATGAGTCGTCCGATATCAGGTCATCACCGCAACACCATCTCCCGACAAAACTGGTATTCATTGTCCGCATGTCCATAGTTAGCAATCACGTCAACTTATAAATTCCCGAACGCTCATAACTTGCCGTCGCTAAACGCCGTTCATTCATAGCGTCTTCATTGCAAATAAATGTCTTCCTATTTCTTTTGATGGTTTTCATCGTATTCCTCCTAAGCTGTACTTACAACATTATGTGTGTTGGTACTTCCGAAAATATTGTAACGGCATTTGCTTTCTGGGAACCCCCTATAATGTAACAAACAACCTTTACAACATCTTCCGGACCCCGTGAAATAAAATATTTCGTGACCTTTTTTTAGTCGTCATTAAAATGGTGAGGTAAGTACCGTAAATCGCGAAGCAGTTTACTTGACGTCCGCTTCCACTGGTGTCTTGGAAGATTGAGTCTACTGAGCGTGCATTCCTGCAGAGGAAATTTTCATTGATAGAATATTGACACGTCAATCAACATTTGATTCCTTCTTGGTAAGATTTATTGCGAAAGCCTGTTACAACCGCCGAACCGCATGTCCCTATATCGGAGAACAATTTATACCCAGCCTGACATTCTCGCATACATCCGTTTGCTGGACCATGCTACTTGAGCTAGCTGAGCACAGCTGGCAGCGGCGCGAGCAAGGCCACGAGGGGAACGTGATGGTGCTCGAGCCATCCCACTGTGAACCAATGTTTCGGCCACCCCACGGGTGCGTGTCGCCGTCTATTGGTTGAACTAACGCCTTGTTCAAGATGGCTGCCGTGGGACCGCAGCCTTAAGAGTTTTCTGTCCCCAAAATTCTCTTACCCTAGTTGGCTGCCTACTCTACCCATTAGATATTTTCTGGCCATGCAAATGGCCAATTTTGTGCTCTGTGTGTCGTGCGACTCGACCTGCCGAGCAATTTCAGTGTCTCGGGAGTAGCCATTTAGCAACACTTGTTTTGTCAAAACATTCCAAATGATTAATCTGGCATGCACACTAACGCTTCAAACCCACTTTAACTGATCTACAAAAATCGGTTTCTCAGTGCATCTCACTAGAGGTGCCACTAGGTGGGAAAGCTTGTATAGTGAAAATATAAAAAAATTTAGGGGTGGAACGACTGTGCCATTTGCGCCATTTTACGCCAGACGCATTTGTCTCCGCCGCCCTGCGCCACAGCCAATACCTCACGCCATTATGCACCAAATCGCAAAACGTGCGCCAAAACAAATTGCATTTTGTCTTGGTTTCGGTTTTTATAGACTCAATTGGCAACAATGAGCATGTTCTTTTTATTCTCCCTGTGTATCCTGAGTCGGAAGCGAGCGAAAAAACTCGGGGGTCGGATTCTAAGCGGTGCACCACCTGCGAGTAGATTGTTATTCTTCAACCATCAGCGGTTAAGCAAGTCGGCCGATGTGAGGTCGAGTCGTTAATCATCAGATTGCCTGAGGCTCTGCGGCCCAGGATTCGGACGTCAGCCAGTTGAAAACAAATGAGCGAAAAATTCCTCTTAGTACTTCATTGTTAAAAGTTGGAACCGCATTCCCGCAAGATAAATCGTGATTTGATAGAACTGAAACCATCATAACCATCCTAGCCAGTAATAACAATACTCATGCGCGCGAGATGCTCGAGGCCCTTGCTATCGAAGAACAAGCGAGTGGGTGCGTCAGCACCCCGTCCATCACTATTCACAAAAAGGAGAGACAATATCTACGGTGCGTCACGGTCCAGAAAATGGCAGTATGAGCTTGTGGCTGGTGAATTTAAAATATTAGTTTAGGTTAAGGTAATGTGAAAATTTTGTAAACATACACATGCATTATTATATTAGTATAATAGGTTTTAATATGTAATAATTTTTGTTGGTGTCTGAAAACACGCAAGGAAAAAGAAGTTCCCACTAAATAATCGTTGGTAGTCAGCTGTCTATTCTCTCCTGTCTCAATTTCTCTATATCTTCCCCTGGTTCAAGCTGTCAAATATATATACAAGTATGTACCAACAAGCTCCACTATCAACCATAAGACAGTGATGTGAAAGACCGTTTTAGAGCATGTTTAAAGCAAAGGTTTTTTTTTTATTATTAGAAATGTTTGCAGTATTTATGCTTTGGTATATTTTCTGCTTATTATCCCAACTCCTGATGTCATTGGATGTTTTTATTTATTTTCAGGGAACACCTTTGCAACACTTCCACGCACCCAGCGTGGCATGCCTCTTGTGCTGGGGGGCGATCCAAAGGGCAAAAACTTTCTGTACACAAATGGAAACAGTGTCATCATTCGAGACATTGCGGTGGGTGGCATCTGCTGTTTACACAGTTTAGTAGGTTCTCTGTATGTCCAGAAACAATGAGTAACCCTGGGAAGCTAGAATTTGCCCCTAATTGTCTGGGTTGGGAAGTGGAAATGTGGGCACTTTATTTTGACATGCGAGTGTGAAGTGCTTGGCCTTGAGCCTTGACTTGTTGGCTGCAATAGACTATTTAAGAAATATGGCACAAATACGAATATGTGCTACGAATGCAAACCAAAATTGCAGCCCATGGGCAGTCTTGAAAGAAACTGTGAACTGACAACCATTAATATTGAAGGGGGAATCAAGCTTTCATCAGATTACCAAGGTCTTCCTCTGAAGTGTTGAGGAACACCGGGCAAAGTTTGGAGAAGCGAGTGATGCCCGGCCTAATCTTTAAAACTCTGAGGCTGCTTTCATGCCCTGCTTTGTTGTCTAATTTCATTGCTGCAGAACCCCTCCTTGTGCGACATCTACACGGAACACTCTCAGATGACAACGGTGGCCAAGTACTCGCCGAGCGGATTTTACATAGCGTCCGCAGGTAGGCTATTGGGGCCAGTCTGTTAATCGTGATTGCATGATGTGCTGTTTTGGACAACACAAGCTGAACCGACCATGCGATGACAGATACCGGTAGTCCTGCCTCGAAATGAGGTGCGAGAAAAAGCATGCGGTTGAGAGTGCGGCGCCACTGGAATTTAGCGTTTCTTGTTTCTTGTACCAGCATGCACTCAAATCTGTCTTTGTTACCCCACACTTGGTGCTGGCTCGATTGTATCTGGGCAGAAAAGGTTGGTGCCAGTCCAGTGTTCTTTGCATGATCGGGCCAGATAGCAGCGGTGCCGCACCTTCTCAAAGCTGCTCATTCGGCACTTGGTGACACTGATACCTCTGGTCATGTCGGTTTGCGTCGTCCAAGACTGTACCTGGGCAGCGACGGCGTTGTTGTGACCTCATCTGAATGATGGCATCGCAAAGTGCCATCAGAAAAATGAAATCATTGCAAGAGAGTGGAATGTCTTTTTTTTTTTTTTTTTCCCAGACCAAACCGGGAAGATTCGCATCTGGGACACTGTCCAGAAGGAGCACATTCTGAAGAATGAGTTCCAGCCTTTTGTGGGCATTGTCAAGGACTTGGCTTGGTCCCCGGACAGCCAACGCATCATGGCTGTCGGGGAGGGCCGTGAAAGGTGCGTGCACAAGCGTGCCTTTAGATGCAGGTGCGAGAGCCCCGATGTGCTTTTCAGGTTTGGGCATGTGTTCATGGCGGAGACTGGCACGTCAGTAGGTGAGATTGGAGGCCACAGCAAGCAGATCAACTCGTGCGACTTCCGCCCCACGCGACCTTTCCGCATCATCACCGGCAGCGAAGACAACACCGTTGGCATCTACGAGGGACCACCTTTCAAGTACAAGCTCACCATTAGTGTAAGGGATGGGCACAAATCCTTTGTTCCCGATTTGTTGTTACGGGGGTGTGCGGCATGAGATGACCTGATCCCCAAACTTGGGGAGAGCTACATGCTTGTAAACAGAAGTGGTTAGTATGGTGTTATGGACTACTCGTGGACATTGCTCAAGCCTCTGAACTACTAGGAAGTGTGGAAGTAAGAGTTAGGTGGTAGCATATATCTCCGCTCCTAGGAAACCTCTGAAATGAGCGATCTCTGTTTAAATCGAAGGGGCTGCCCGAGATACCCTCCTGGTTTTTCAGTAGAAGGATGAAAGGAAAATTGGTTTGCAATTTGGGAATTGAGAAAGTTGTTTGGCAGTTAAATGAAGCACGCTTGCAGGATAGGATTAGCCTTGTGAAGGTTGGCTTTGCCCCATCACGACCAAGTGTAATTGAGCTGTCTTGAAGGGGTGGGGCAGTATACTTCTTGCTTTGGCCACACTGTGTGATGTTGCAGTGTCTCGCTCCATCGCTATCAATCCTGAGTGCTTTCTTCGCTAGATTGTTCTTTCTCATCTTAAGCATCTTAGGTAAGATCTTAAGCACCTCAAATATATGCAGTTTTTTTTGCTGTTTTTGAAGATTCTTTTGCAATGACTGCTGGAGGGATCTCTTTGCCATTTTTGCTTTAAAGACATTGACACATTATAAATTTCTTAAAAAAAAACAAATATTTAAAAAAAAGTTTATTGAAAAAGAATTGTGCAATTGGCAAAAATCGGCCAACTCGGCACTTGCATTTGAAGACAATTTACAAAGTCCTCTTGATTATAGGTAAAAATTCTCCGATTCAGTCCCTTCTAAATTTAATGTGGAACTGAATGATATCAAAATGATAGATATACTGCAGTGAATTAAAAGGTTGCCAGGTAGGGAAAATGCCAAGTCTGCCTCTGGGGACAAAGTTCTTAGAGATTTCTAATTGTACCTCTCTGCAAACCGTCTAAAGGCTGGGACACAGCTGGCTCCCACATTTGTCCACGCTTGGGTGGGCAATTCTGGGAGGGCTTGCGCGTGAATCACTTGTGCATTTTTACCAATGCATAACACAAAAAAAAAGTCTTAATGGCAGGTTGTTTATCTCTCCCACAGCATGCATAAGTGTGCACACTTCCATTTTTTCATTAAAATATAATCGCTGTTATTCCGCAACGACAGAGATGGTCATTCACAAGCCGCTTCTTTCGGAAAGGCGGCTTGCGATTGGCTGGCGTGCGCCCATCGTCATGCCGCCGGCGCCTCCGCTCAAATCTGTGCTCCAGATTTTTCCACTCGGAAAGGGGCGTGGCACAAACTTGTATCGCATTTTGAGTAGGAAAATAGACGTCGCACAAGCGTAATTTTACGATTTCTAGGATGCTTGGAGCCCGTTGGATAACTTATCACCAAGAACAGACGATCTGAGAAATGTCGTTAATTTAATTATTGTGTCCGCCGTGTGCCTCTGTGCCGTGGTTCCGGTGTACCATAGCATTTGTGCCCCTCATGTCAGCATTCACCGCCTCTCACCAGTGTGTGTGTCGAGCTTCACTGCTTTGCACCGGAGTGCTAGGAGCTGCGGCTGACATGGGGGAGCACCTGGCTGAGCGCTATAGGCCCGGATATTATGTTTAGTATTATTACGGGTCTACCTTCTTTGGTCTAGTTGACTTCTTATTTTAAGAAGCTGTGCTGAGAAAGAGGAAGAAGCATGGGTCCATATTTGAATAGATACAGTAATCAATGAAGTTCCTGTTTAGCCGTCGATCGAAAGAGCACTAAACTTTGACTTAAAGGGGCCCTGCAATCATATTTAAGCGTCTACCTTTTTTGCAGTTTCCAGATCTCTTGGGGTTCGGGTAAGTCAGCGGGCACGGAGAGTGTAACTAAATATCAGAGTGTCTTATTTTAACCAGACGGTGTGGAAACCTTCTCCACCTGCGGAGCGACCCGCAGTACCGAAAGCGCACAATATGCGACGTCTTTGGTCCTGGGCGCTCTACTGGTCAGAGCCGCTAAAAGCTTTTCTTTAGTCGAAATACAAAATATAAGTGGCTCAAACCATTTCAGTTATTTATGAAAGTAGTTTTTGTTCAGTGTTTTAGATTAGAAAAGAAACAAATACAGTTATAAAGTACGGAAGCCAGGGTGTCTAGCGACCGGGAAAACCGGGAATTGTCAGGGAAATTTTAATTACCGGGAAAAATCGGGGAGATTGTCAGGGATATTTTCAAAAAGCGAGCCCAGTCAGGGAAAATGAGCCGGAAATGGCATCAAGTGCCCTGACCAAAGACTTGAGGATTTGGGGACAGAAGAATGGGCAATAAATTCTGCTTAGAGCAGAGCACGGGCTCAGCTCACCCGATGTAGTGTGTGCTACCCGATGCAAAGGGAACAGCTGACAAATCCAGTCTAAGCCTGGATTGGATTGCATTGAGGGTGTGACACTAGGCTAGATCCAGTTAAAGCTACTAGATCTGGTAACAAATTGGAAAGCCACAGACCCCAATCCAATCCCAGCCTTAAGCGAAAGTATCCAAAAGTGTGCATCTGGCGGCCATGCTGCCATTCGGTTATCGACGTGTGTGGTTGGGCTTCGCATTTTCATTGTGTTTCCGGAAGTGGCCTCTTCACTGATGATGTCGGCGGCAAGAAAGCGTTAGTTTAATCCAGACTGGACAAGTTAGAATATTTCGGAATATGCAAGTTGGATTAAGCCCATGCAAAATTATCCTCAGTGCTCGATGCTCAATGCCATGTGTTCTAATGTCATATATTTAGCTGCCTCTACAGCGGTCAGGGAATTTCACCTGAAAATGTCGGGGAAAACCTGGAAAAGTAGGGTAATTTCAAAATAATAATTTGCTAGACCCTGGGAAACAAATGACCCGTCGACATACCCACCACCAAGCGGTGTAAAAGGCAGCACATACCAGAAAGGAGTAGTGGGATCGGGCACCTACGGGCGGCGAGCGTACAAAGGTCCCGGATGTATGCGGCGGCGCTGCGGTCATATACAGGCTCGAGGATCCGACCGGTTTCGAGCGTTCCAAAGGCCTTCAGCGAGCAGGTTTAACTTGCGGTTTGGCCGTTTGGCGGTATGGCAGCGTGAAGTGGCTCCCGTTCTGCACTGATTGTTACCCTGTGTTTGCTGTCATTTGTGGCCAATGAAGTGTCATGCCGGATTAGTGTTTAATCGCGCAGCAAATGCAATGCGAGCCGCCCTGGCAGTCAGCTTCATACAGCCTATCCAGAACATGCTTTAGTAACGCCCCCTCGAGCCGTCAACGCCGAGTGCGGCAGCCTTGAGCGCTCACTGAGCTCACTACCCCTCCTCTAGTTCACGGCCACTCAAGCGACCAAGGACGTCATGAAGGAGGTTATTTTTTGCTTGTTTTTGTGATTTTAATTTGCCTATAACTTCAAAAATGAAGCGAAATTTTAGAAAAAAGTTTAAGTTACTACGTTCAGTGCTCTCAGGTTCGGTGCGAATTAAAATCCAGTAAAAAAGTCTTTTCAGGACCCCTTTAATTCTAGTTCTGACGCCGCTAAAGAGCAGTGTCACTTTTAAAGTGCAAGTGTAGGTTTTCATGATATTTGGGGGTGGCTGTTTTTGCTGCATCATATTAGTCGCGAGTTTGGTAGGTTCCTAAAAATTGGTGGACACATTTTTTATTGATATACGTGTTAATGGATATGCTTTTTTTGCTGGCATTTTACAGAAATTATATTTTTAGGCTAAGTAAACTACCAAGTGTAAAAGGGAGTGGGAGAGAGTCTTTATCCCAACTGAAGTGTTGTGAAATGATTAAATTTCCAACCATCTTTTAAATACCCATTGTAGATGAAACCTATTCTAACCTTAGCCTTATTAATGTAAAAAAAAAAAGAAAAAAAAAAGGATCCATTCCTTTTGTGCTTTACAAAAAGTAATTATATGCTTGAGTATCGGAGGAACCCTCAGTCATTATCAGAGAAGGGAATTAGTGATGCAATCACTTTTTCCTTTTCAAGTGATCTGCTCACAGGCTGGCCTCTGCTCCGAAAGCATCAGTTGCTGCTCCAAACCAATATTTTTCCTGCTACAAAATCTGCTACCAAAAGCCAAGTGCCGCTTCCATCACCGAGGAAGTGGAGGCATTCTCTGCCCAAGTATGGGGATGCTAGACAATGCCAATTGGAAGTGCTCCTTGTTCCCGTCTAACCCCATTTGAGGTCAAAACTGCTGTGGGTCCTTCACTCTGTGTGAGGAAGCGGCATGGGGTGCTTTTGTAGTGTTGTGCTAGGGGCCGCACGAGACTGCCTTGCGGGGCTGCGTGCAGCCCCTGCTCTAGAGTTCAGGGGTGTTCAGAGTGCAAATGCGTTTCTTCTAGGACCACACCCGGTTCGTGCAGTCTGTCCGCTACTCGCCCAGTGGCGAACTCTTTGCGAGTGGAGGCTTTGATGGAAAGGTGGGTCCTCACGGTTTTAATCCCTAGCACGCAGGATGAGGTTTCTTTGTTCTGCCCCGCTCTAGATGTTTCTCTACAATGCCAGCACGTATGAGAAAGTCGGTGAATTCGGATCTCCCGCCCACGGCGGTGGGATCTATGCGGTGAGTGCATGCAGTAGTGCCACGTTTCGGCCGGGCCATCATAGTGGCAGGTATTGCAATTAGTGTGTTTGTTTCAAGGTGTCCTGGAGCCCCGATAACACCAAGATACTAACGGCATCTGGAGACAGGACCTGTAAGATTTGGGATGCCAGCACCATGTCCGTGGTCACGTAAGTGTGGAAAAACACCGATACCCTCCGGGCTTTTCTCTTGTGCCACGAGGTTCGCATCTGGGGGCAGCTGTGCTTACTTTAAAGGGATACCGAACTGAACATTTGGGTTTAAATTATTGGTTGTAATGGAATTGACAGCACATTGCTAACTTATAAATGTAATTATAAGTGACATCTATTTAAGAACAAAGATTGTCTAAACTTAATTAAACGAGAAAAATGATATTGCAGGGTGCACCTGGTAAGCGTTTTCAGCTCTTTCCGCAACGTCACGATTCTGGCCTAGCTTGCTCTTTGCAGTTGAATGTGCGATGCAGCAGCCGTCTGAGCTAGTGTGGCACTCGCCAAGTGTGAAGCAACTTAAAAGTTGTGCCACGGCATTGCATTGTGCCAAACTGTTCAAAACTGTATAGGATAAGGCGTACGTGTTCGCACCAGCTCGCAGTTCAGAAATTCTGAATTCAAGCGGCCTGCCCTTTATGGCTGGCGTTGGTCTGTCAAAAGTGACTCTTGTATAGACAACTCTGTAGAAAAGAGCCCGAGCCACCCTAAACTATTACCAAATCTCGCCCTGTCTGTAAAAAATATCGGCCTTAAACTGAGCGTTTTGCCCTGGCGTTTTACACGGCAAGAACTAATCACTTTGTTGTTTTTGCAGCGACTGAATTATTTTTGTACTTGCATCCCTTGATTCCTAGTGGAAACAAGGAACATGTGCATGTAGAAACTGCAGCTTCATTCGTTGTGCAAACAAATGACTGTGTATTGAAACCACATTTCTGCGATCGATCGTGCTTTTAGCCGCGTCTAAAGTTAATGCCAGTCAAATTACGGCCCTGCTGGTGTCAAGAACATTGCACCACTGGAGACACAAGTAGTGGCTCCCTGCATGGGGGTACCTGCGTGAGTAGGTGTTTGGTGAGTGACATCACCACAGACCCCGAGCGATGCGGGTACGCAGCCCTAGGTCTGGCTGCATGTGGCTGCACCCCCTAATCAGTTACAACAGAAAGTGGTTGCTGCAGCTGTGGGAAACAAATTGCACATAGTCTTGTGCTGGGTTCCTTGTCACGTGGGATATACCTGGCAATGAAGCTGCTGAATGTGCTGTATCCACCTGTGCTACAAGGAAGGTTAATATTCACGACATGCCCTACCGAGACCACAAATTGACCATAAAGAACAGCATCGGGTGTAAATAGCCAGAGGAATGGGCCCCCGAAACCAACTCCATGTTGTGAAGCCGATGCTAGAGCAGTGGGCGAGTGCCCATCATAGGGACCGTTTTTTTCCAGGTCGTCCTTTCTCGGCTAAGAATTGGCCACACACATCCGACACATGGGTATCTGCTTCGCCGAGAAAATCCCCCTGCATGCAAACACTGTTCAGAACCATTAACTGTGGTGTATGTCCTTCTTGAGTGCATATCACAGATACCCCCAGTTGCACTTGGCTCAGTTTTAGTCAGCACACATGCCTGTACACCTTGCTCTTCTGCTTGGAGATAAACTTTTATAAATCATACATATGTTTTTAAATTCCTAGAAAACGCTGGACTCTCACTACCTTTGCAATTTTTATAATTTTTTATACAGATTCTTTATATACAGATTCGTGTCCATCCTTTTATTCTATCACTGGTCATTAGAACCCTCTTCTTTAAAAAACATTTCTTGAAATAGTCTCAGATTTTGCACTCTATAGCCTTAGACGCTTTTGCATAAATAAAACTCAATCAAGTAGTGGCTGCGGTGATTGCATTCTTTGCACGTGTGATCTGGGAGTAAAAGTACTTTGAAGCTACAAGCTCGTGCCGGCAGCCTTGGCTTTACTTGACTTCAGGTGAAACAGAGTAAGGTTTGAGTGACGGCCTGGCCGTCTGACTTGCACCATTTATTGATTTGGATAGTTGTATGTATACGCAAATACACCGCATTGTGTGTGCAATTTTTTTATTCTCTATTCGTATAGAAATTCTTTTTTACAGCGATAGCTGTTATGGGCTCATCCCACCCCTGTTGTAGTTGTCGATACTCCGTCGATGTTGCCAAATCCTTGCAAAAGATTGGATTTCTGCCCTGGGAATCAAACCTGGGTCCGCTACGTGTGAAGCGGAAACGTTGCCACAGAGCTACGCCACAATGTTAAAGGAATTGTCTGGTTGAAACCGGAAGTACTCAAGTTTTTGCGCTCGTTTCGTCGAGGGAGCTTTCATATAAGCAAACATGTAGAATTCAACTTTTTCGGTAAAAATTTTTTTTCAAAAAATGATGTTTATGTTTATTAACTTCCAAAGAATGGTTTCAGAAACTTTCATTTATAAACGTACAGAATTTATCTCACAATAAATTATTTTCGACATGTCGGCAGCCCTCCAAGTCGGCAGGGAGCAGGGTTTTTTTCGTTTTTTATTTCGCGCTGCTTCATACTCGTTTCACACGGCCAAAACATCTCACCCTTATTGGAAGCACCATTTACTCTACAGGGTGATACAAAAAGACGCCAGGCTCTTTAAATCGACCGGAAAATTTGGTTTCTTAATGTATTGCGCTACAGCTTTGTGCAGCGTTGCCCACAGATGGTGCATTTTTTTGGTAAAATTTGCAAAGAGCGAACTTACCTGAGGAAAAAGTAAAGAAAGAAAGAGGCTTAGCTCCTATGGAAACGCGGCGACACGACACAAACGACACGGCGCAAACGACACGGCGCCGTTTCGCACGGGAGACAAGAGATGGTGCAAGCAGTCGCGACGCCAACTACCGCCAACGAACGAGCAGACGACGCCGAGAGCCGGCCCTTTAGCAGACAAGGAACTGCAGTTCCTTGCTGTTACCACACCTGTCTTTTTTGTTTCTGCGACTGTCGCCGCCTGCTCTCGGCGCCGTATGCTCGTTCGTTGGCGGCGTTTGTGGTGATACAAAGAGCCTGGCGTCTCCTTGTATCAGCCTGTAGATTTAGCCCGCAGAAGCTTTCAAAGTTTAAAAGTATCAATGGCCATGAGCAGGGATGGGCAAAATACATGCAAATATGTATCAAAATACAAATACAAAATACTTCGTCAAAAATGTATTTAATTACAAATCTAATTATATTTCCAAAAAAGCATTTAAGTACAAGATACAAATACAACCAAATGTATTTGATCTCCTCCAAATACTTTCCAAAATACATTCCTCAAAATTTGCGTCAGCGACTTCAGGGCACCTGCAACGGGTTTCTGGGTATCTCATTTTAATTTTGCATCGCACACTCGGGAGTTAGTGTGCGAGGCTCTAGTAACATAATAGAAATATAATCACAAAAATATGTAATCAGCTTGGACGTAATAGGTGAACAAAGTACAGAACTTCAAGCAGCTTTTTTTGTCGATTACATTTTTGTATAGACCAACAAAGAACCGAGACGACCAAGACGCGCAGCACAAGCAAGAGATTTTTTTATTGTTGCAACTCGCACCAGTTACGGAAATCTGGACGACCCGCGCTTTTAGAATGTTCCAGGCAAAAATGTGGGTGGAAATCAGGCTGGAAAGCCTCACAAGTTGTCACAGGCACTTATTTAGCCAGTCTGCCCGTGAACATCGATTTCGTCACTATTCTTGCTTTGGACTAGCACCGTAATCACAAAGTCAATAAGCGCTTGTGCTTGATTGAGAGACAGTGCATTCGATGCAGAACATAGTTTTCTTCCTGCTCTGTACAGTGACAATAAATTTGAGGGATGTATTTTCGCCCACAAAATTGTATTTAATTACAATTGTATTTGAAATACCCACGTTTTAGTATCTAAATACACACGTCAAATACATTACCCAATTTGTAATTAAGTACAAGTGCAAAATACACAAAGTATTTAAAATACGTATTTGAAATACTTGTATTTGAAATACTGCCATCCCTGGCCATGAGCAGTGATGCGATTGCTGTGCCAATTGCGCCAAACTGTTCCAAGGGGCTAACCTTGCTACATACTGCTACAGTTAGCCAATATATGGGTAATCTGTGCCAAGCCTGCTCCAAAGGACCAATTTCGGTCGCCTTTCAAAATTGAAACTGAACGGAGCACCGTAATTGAGCATGCGTGAGCTAGGTGACTCAAGCTGCCGCCCGACACACAGTACCCTGCATCAATCGTCCATGTGGTCTTGTATGGTTTTAAACTCTGTCTCGCTTTTCGCGCTCTCATTGTCTCGTAAATCTCGTCTTGCGCCTTTTTTAAAATTTTTTTTAACGATGAACGCGGGTGTGTGCGCGGACTCTTCGACGCTAACCTGCCAGGTATCAGTCATGCCGTCATGCTGTGAAACGGAACCACGTTTTTGCGCAGCGGGAGTTACTTTATGAGCTAAAGCACTCGCTCCTGAAAGCAACGGCAGTGGGAAAACTATATTTGGTCCCTGCCCGCCAGTCACTGTGCTCGCGTGACGTCGGGCGTAGCTGCCCCACGTCGCTGTAGATATGGCGCTGTAGATATGGCGCTTTCTAAACTAACGTAAGTACCGCCGCATGTTCATCGACATTTCTATGATTGTTTAAATCATACGCTATTACAAAAATTCCTCATTATATCAAAGACTGCTGTGTAGAAGTATTGATTACCTAGGTTTCTCTCAGTGGGCTTTCTTTTGAGAGGGAGTACATGAAAAATCTGCCGTGAAAGAAAGTTGGCGAAAAGAAGTGAGCTAAACTTAAGAAGGCAATGTCTGCACGCTGAACCCGCACAGGGCACTTATTTCTCTTGAGTTCAGTTGTTGCACAAAGCGCTCCAAAAACGTTTTGATTCTGGCTCGTGATGTCTTGCATCAATGTGCTGAGGTTCTTTTTTTCTGTGTGTTTAGATTGTACCTTGCCTGCCAGCCTGGCAACACCTGCCGCTGGACTGTTTTTTGTCAAATACTGGACAGTTACATTTTGCATAAAAGTTTGGGAACCAGTTGGCGACGAAACAGAGTGGCATGGTTTCGGTTTCGATTGAACAACCGTTGTCTACACTCGTAC